TTGCAACACACCCTAGGACCAGCTGGTGAAGGGCAGGCGATAACAGTAATGCACTTTAAAAATCCAAAGTGTAATTCTCTGAGCTGGTGCTCTGCTGCTGAAGTACATCAAACTTGAATTGTTTCGAAGCAGAACGCAACTTGCATTTTTCAGAACTCGTGAAGTAGCTGCTCCTGGCTTGTTGCTTATCTGCAGGCCATGTTTCTTAGGAGAAGACATATTCAGTTGCTTCATTAGGAAATGGATATAAAGCAGTCAGCTGCCAGAATTTAAAACAAACTATGGCTTAATGTGAATGAGTTCCTGTGGTGCTGTTCCTGTGCTCCTGCTCCTGTCATGCCAAGGACAAATCAAGTCACCATCTCAATTGTCATGTTATCCTAAACCAAGCTCCTGGTTTGTTTTTCCCAAACCACAAGTGGTAAGACAAGGACAAACCAAGGTCCCACCCTTATTGTGCCACTGTATGGAAAGGGTGTCCACAGTAAAGACCTGTGTTTGTTTATAGCTATATGGTATTCCCCATTAAAAAGTAGAGACATCACCTTGCCAACAAAGGTCCGTATAGTAAAAGCTATGGTTTTCCCAGTAGTGATGTATGGAAGTGAGAGCTGGACCATAAAGAAGACTGATCGCCGAAGAACTGATGCTTTTGAATTATTACAGGGTTGTTTTTTTTTGTATTGTATGGCTTTATTGTGGTTCATTATTTGAGTTTCAACAAAGTTTCTGACAAAAGGTGTTGCTGTTGGGGAGACCCCTGCCTGAGAGGCAGGATGAGGGCAGAAGAGCCTTGTGAGCATGATGCCCAAGGCTGCTGTGCCAAAACTTGCCTTGAGATTCAAGGATTCTGGCTGCCAGCCAATGCTCAAACTACTGGAACATCATTTTCCTTTCTAAGACCAGCGAGAAACAGTAAGCAAATGGTCTCTGCATCCAAGTGAAAGTTTTTGAATTGAAATGTGCATTATTAAAGAGAGCCTTCGCTGGAAGACTCTTGGGGATTCTAGCTGCTGATTTAATTTAGCAAAATCAGAGGTGGAAAAAATTGGTCCAAGAGCACAGGAATGTGTATTACCACTTCAGGGGGCGGTTGTCAGCCCAATACTTTGTCAGTAGAGCTGTTGGGGCACTCTTCTTCGGTTGAAATCTGTTGGCCAAACTTGCATATTCATGTGTTATGAATTCTTAGTCTTCTAGCCTCTGAGTTCAATGGGGTTCATTTCCAAGTAAGTATGTATAGGACTGCAACCTTAGCTGAGGAAGCTCAGGCTTATTTTTCTCCTCCAAGGGGCACTTGTTTAAATAAAATTGGACAATTACTGAACCTGAGCATAGACAAAATACTGACAATGTTGGTGATAAAGAGAAAAAATAATAGCAACAACTGATACTTTTTGAACAAATATTCATGAGCAGTAGTTTCTGTATATACAGCTTGTTTCTGGGTAGTTCCAAAATAATTGTGCAGAGAGAAACTTATCAACAGATTTTCTGCTTTCCAATATATGGTGTTTGTGAAATGATTCATGAGGTGACAAGAGTACATTCCAGTTGCGCTTTTCTAAGAATGGAATTAATTCTGCTTAGTATTAGCTACTGTTTAAAATAGAGCATTTTTAGTTATTTGGTTGCAGTTTAGCAAACCTGTTATTCTACTAGATTCTGCCTGTGGTGTTTCTACTGTAGAAATGAAAGCTATTGAAACTCAGCTCATTCTAACACAATGCTCTGTTCAGCTGCTTTGGTCAGGGAACCTGGGGGTTATTATGGAACAAGTTGCATTGTGTTTGCTTCTTACCTTGTGGCTGGGAAACATAAAATACTCTGTACCATGATGTACTGAGGAGCACGTGCTAGTCAGATGTTGTGTTCAGCTACATGGAGTATGCTTTCTTACTTTCTGTTATTTTTCAAAACGATTGTTGCATTTGCATTTGGACTCCCAAACACTAGATAGCAAGAACATCTTGCTTTTGAAGTGGTTCTGCTCTCTTCATTGCTGGTGGAAACTTGCAAGAACTGAGCATCCTTGCCAGGCTATTCAACATGCACCCCTCTGAGTAGGTAACTGGAAATGACAGCTAGAAGCAGATGGTGTGAAAGCAATATGAATTAAGTCCAGATACTCTACTTCTCCATATAGCAGAATGTGTATAGTCTTAGTGTATTAGGGAAAAGTTTACTGCTCAGATATTTTCATTTGTCAAAGACTAAATTCTGACATGAGCAAGTCTGGAGATGGTTTCTTTATTCTTCATATCATTATGTATCCTTTCCTGATGATTGGTTTGAACAGTTAGAGAAGTATTTCTACTACTTTTATTTATGTTTTTAAATAGTACTTCTTACATATAGGGAACAAGATTGGTGTTTGAGTGGTGTGGCTTGAGCAGGTGGAACTTTGTGCCATCATTTTTGGTGTAACTGATATGCACAAGATCTAGAGTGATCCAACAATTGTTTTCAAGTTTTCTTCTTCCCTCCCTGCCACATTTTCCCTTTTGTGTCATGTCTTGACACAATCTTTGTTAAGGTTGAGGTATGGGCAAAAGTCTGGCCCAGAGCCAGGACCAAAGGACAATCAGATATGAGGGCAACCAAGAGAAAGGGTTCAAGAACAAGCTTGACCAAAGAGCAATCAGGATCGGGATCAGAGGGCAAATCTGAAGGCAGGAGCAAAACAACATAGCAGAAATCCATGGCTCCCACATCAGATCCCTTATTGCAGCTGCCACTATTGTGCTTTTTCTGTGTATGTTCAATGCTCACATTCCATGACTTGTTATCCTGTAAGTATTGTTTTATATTTTGATTTTATAAAGATTTCTTAGTCTAAAACCTTTGCTGTCAGTGTAAGACCTCTGAGAACCCAAAGTGGTGCTTGAACAAATTCACTTCCTTATACGTATTGCTGGGATACTGCCTGGTTGGTTCGCTGATATCAAAGCATGGGTGCTTCTGTGGTTTAGTAGTAATTTCAGTGAAAACGTATGTCATAAAATAGTTAAAATTCCCTTCCATTTATAAAAGCTGTAGAACTTGCAAGTTACTCAATACCAGGGGTTTCTCTAGCGCATCTTGAGAAGTTGTTTGTTCTCTTTTGATCTGGCTGCTGAAATGATAAGGTTTTTGGGTTCAAATTTTGTGGAGTGGGGTGTTCTGCAGATGCTGGGGTAGGTGCTTAATATGACAACTCTAGCACTGACTTCATGACAATAACAAGGAAGTTATAAATAAAACAAAACATATGGATTGATTGAAAAGGTTCGGCAAAGTGGTCTCATTAATTTTAGATAATGGGAAGTTTTGTTCCTTTGTTAATTAATGAAAGTTACAGCAGTGAATTATTATTTTTTATTCCAAGCCCCTTTCTTCTTGTTTAATGAGCTCACTGATCCTGCTGAAGGAGACCTAAACCTTGAGATTCTTTTTTTTAAAAAAGGAATTGGAACTACTAAATTTTTAATCAGTGCTATTTCCATGACAAACTTTCTGACCTCAAGCCAACAGATGCAGGAAGCGCAAATGTTCTTTGTGTAACTAGAAAGGAAACCTGATACAAATACCTTCCATTTCGTGGGAGTGATCCACTTCACAGACCACGGCTCTCGACAGTCCACTGCAGTTGCTGACATACCCGCGAGGCCTGAGAGCAGCCACAATGAGGTGCCATGGACTTTGAGAGGGGACAAGTGGGTAAAACTGTATTGATTTTGTAACATAAGGCAGGAGACTAGATTATCGTAATTACACTGGGCCTCTGAAAAATATATGAAGAAGCTGTAAAATGAAATGTCAGGAAGGTTAGTAATCACTCGGGGAATGAGCCAGAAGAAAATCAAATGCTGTGTAGTCTTGTTGGCTACTCTGGGTATTCAGCCATGCAAATGATTTCTCAGACATGAAACTTTTTTGCTTCTGTTATGGGAGTCCTTGACATCGCCAATAGTTTTCAGAGGCCCCCTCTACAGAATAGTACCTCATAAGGGCCACATTAGTAATCACTTTAACCTTGACATGCCTTTTATTTTTTAAAAAGGGAACTACTGTATATAGGTGGGAAAGTGGAAACAAGTTAAGCGATGCACCCCTTTAATGTCAACAGCCAACCCCATCGTCTTCCGCTGACCTCCATTTGTATGTGTTTCCTGTCTGAATAATATTCTTGCACAACTTCATTCAGTATGGTCCTCCCTTCTGTAAAGAAAAGTGGGCAGTGCTCTTCTGAACAGAGAATGAACATTGCAGTTGCATAAGTCAAGCTGTCCTTATGTGGAGAGAAAGAAAATCAAACTCACTCAGATGAGAAATCTATAGATCAAGATGATGGTGATATACAGCACAAGCTTTAGGTCAGGCATGGCCAAACTCCAGCTGTTTTGGGACTACAATTCCCATCATCCCTGACCACTGGTCCTGTTAGCTAGGGATCATGGGAGTTGTGGTCCAAAAACAGCTAGAGGGCCAAGTTTGCTTAAGAAGCGTGGGGTGCAGCCTTCCCAAGATTGAGCCCCCAAAACTTCCAGAGCCATAATCTCATGCAGTTATTAATATGTTTTCACTGAGATGCTTCCTAAATGCTTCTGCCCATCTTCCTGTTTATCAAAATAATCCCTCCCAGCAGGTCTCTAGTAACTCTCTGCCATAGAAATGGCTTCAGTAGGGTGGATTGCCATCTCCCCACTCGCTTTTCCTCTGTAAGAAGCCATAGAGAGGAAAAAAGCACACTAAAGATTATAATGAGATGAGGTGGAGGTACTGACAGTCCTCCTTGTCAATCAGCCCAAAGCCAATGCATTCTTTCTGTGGGTGTTCACAAACAATGAGAACCATGGGTTTTTTCGGTGGTGGTCATCTTTCTGAGTGTTCATCTGCTTCAGAGTGTGCCAGAGACGGAGAATAAGTTCCTTGCGTCACCTTTTTATACATATAAACATCTGCCACATAATATGCTCCCCGTCGCTGATACGGCAAAAACAACACACACCTCCAAGTAGTTGCATTTTGGATTTACTTTATTCTACAACACGAGCAACATAAATAGTTTATTTGTTTTAAAATATCTTCCTTTAAGAATTCCCTTTGAACAAAATATACACAAAATACATTTTGTAAAGTGGTTTACAACGAACTGTTCAACATAGACACGGGGGGGGGGGACCAAATCTGTTTCACAAGAAAAGAGGAAAGGGGACTAGGGAAGTCATTTTAATTTAACATCACAAGGAAAGATGGGGCAGGATTCAAGGAAAGTATAATAACATATATTCATAGTTGTGTAGGCATATGCTGACTCTATATGGCCACTCTGTTTATACAGAGTGCACTGACATTGAACCAAGGGGAACATACATTGCTCTACCGCATCTTTCCTGGTCATTCTTACCTACCAACCTCCTCCCAAATTGCAGGCCTTCGGTGCTTTGCGAACTATGCTTGCAAAAGGCTACAACCATCTTATAGGGCAAAAAGGTTGGGTTTACCCATTTGTAGCCTTCAATACATTTTGGATTCCTGTGATTTTCTACCTATATGTGAAATGGAGCAAGGCTCCATAATGAAAGCCAAGTCAATTTTGTTGTTATATTCACTTTTGAGCGAGTTGTATCTTTGGCATAAGAGAACGAACAGTCCTTTGGGACTTTCACTTCTTAGCAATAAATAGAAAAGTGGTTTCTATCCATTTAGCTTGGCACTGTATCCCAAATGGCAGACAGTAACCATTGCTGGAAGAGACTTGCCATATAAATAAGCAGCTTCGTTGCTCTAAGAATGACGTTGCAGTTCTGTAGTACAGCATCTTTTCCATTTTAGTTAAGATGGAGTGTTCTCTGTGGGCAGAACTATATTTAGATGAACAAACAAGATCCAATATGATGGCCCTGTGCTAAGTCTTCTCCCTCTGACTTGTATTATACCCTGCCCTTATCTTGCTGCTCACAGCATTTTCTCAGTTTTGCCCCCAGGTCTTAGCAGAAAAATACTTATACAGCAGAGATCACTGGACATGAGAGAAGTTGCATTACACAGAATGGAGCCTGACACAGGGCTGCCGCTCTGATTTTTGTAATGTACAAGTTCCATCCTCTGCCCCCTGGCCTTTGACACCTGAGATATTTGTTTTCAGGACCCACCCTACTCCTTTGGCTTTTAATTTCTTTTAACAGTTTTTAATTCTGAATTTTAAATTGTTGTAACGTGCTCTGGGACTTGCTGGTGGAGGGCAACTAATACATTTAATAATAATAATAATAATAATAATACCGGTAATAATAATAATAATAATAATGTGTGCCATGTTATATAATCACAGGAGCTTTTCATTGTGAAATGGTGCAGGCTTTAATGCACATAATGCTGTGTGTGGCATTGCCCAAGATCCCCTGTTTTGAGATTGGGTGGGAGAAAGCAAAGGTTCGATGAGTTCCTATGCCTTGCCATGTCCACTAGAGGAGTCAGTCCTCAGATGCATGGATGCCTTGCAAGATCAGCCATGCATATGTAACTCTTTGCTCATAAGAACTTTCTAGTTCATAGCAGCAGAAGGTGCAACTTGGCCAGTGAGCTTATTAAGTGTCTCCTTCCACTGAACGTGACTGGGAAGCCTTTTGCTGGCAGAGAAGGAAGCTCAAAAGGGACACTGCCACACCCATAAGACTTGCCTTTGTGGTTCATGGCTGATTTGACATTTGCCTTCTGAGTCTGTGCAGTTTATTTCATTATCACCTAAGGCTGTAGCAGTTTTTCAAGGTCAGCCGAAAAGTCCAGACTACTTCCACTCCTAACAATGCTACTGTGTTCTGTTAAGTCACCAAAATGAATTTCCATTTGTTCTGCCTAGTACATAACCCCTTGATAATCCCCCCTATGTGGTGCTTCTATCCTGTTCTACCCCGCTCACCAGCCAAAACTTCCCATACCTTTATGTTGAAGGCCAGCTTATATGGTTTGCTTTGCTTCTGGCATCCAAAGAGAGAGGATGGATGCAATGTGGGGTAAACATCCTGATCAGCTGGGCAGCTGCAATCAGGAATGGTTTAAGGTGGCTTCTGCAGTTGGTGGCTGTACTGCCTCTGCTCCTTAAGAAAAGTAACAATAGTCCACTTTTGTCTTTCCTGTAATAATGGCCATAAAAATCTTGTCATGCCACACTTATCTTCTCAACGTGTACAATTCACAATATTGGTTCACATGTAACATATACTTCATTGTACCGGGGGGGGGGGCACACCCCTCTGTTAGCAATCCAGGAATTACTATGTTTTGGCATTCAGTAGAACAGATGCAGAAATCCTGAGTGTTGTATATCTCTCTCTCTCTATTTAATGACTCCGTTAAATAGACGCTTACAAGGGACAAGCTAGAATTGCATATAAAATCCAACTAACAAACAATGTAGGCGTGCATCACTTGAAAATGTTCCCCTAAAAAATTCCAACTTCACAAAGAGCCATAGAAACACTGCATATTTAAATGGAAAATGGAAAAAAAGAACAAAACAATCAAATTCAGGCACAGTAGCAGCTTCTTTGACAAAGAATTCCATAATATAGTTACAAGGATTCAGCAGCTGTGAGATTGTGTACATTCATAGTCTCCCATTCATTTAACATACAAACAAAGAGCGAGGAGTAAGGGAATTTTTGTCCAAGGCAAACTGCAATGCATCATAAATCAGGCTGATGAAGACTCACACCTTTTCAATTCAATTAATGAGACCAATATTCAGGGCTGGCATGAGAGGCTGCGATGTGCCATCCAAAAGTTGTCCTCAGCATCATCTTCTTTGACATTGCAAGTGACCCCTGAGATCACACATTAATTTGTTGGGGTCTTTAAAAAAACACCTGCTCTTGCAAGGGTTACCTGTATAGTTGCATCAGCCTTGCAATCTGTGCACCCTGTTTTTGAGGTCATCATTGACAAGACTTAGTCTGATCCCCCGGGTATGTGATGGACATGTGTATGGGCCCATGTGCCGAACGGATTTGAGGGTTAGCTGTTGTGTTTTAGAAATAATTAAGACGTGAGGCCTCCTATGTTGGATGAGGCCAGCTATCACTTGGGTGGGTTGGCAGCAAGTCCTCTCTCCATATGCTTATCTAGGGCCAAACCCAGTTGGCTCCTCCCCTACGGGAGCTGCTCTCATCAGTCACCATTCTGCACCAGAGGCAGAGCTGGGACAGCAAGTTCTACTCTTTCAGCTAGGCTAGGAACAGTTACCACTTGGTTTGTCCTTGCACAGAACTGTCCCGCAGAGTACTTGAATGCAATTATTTTTCTCTGCTTTCTGTGTCCCCTTTCGCTTCTGCATCATACCAATTAAAATGCAAGCAATTTTTCAAAATTACGGACCACCTTGAATGCAGTTGGAGATAGGCAACATATAATTGTGGCATATAAATAAAGGTGGCCACACCCATATTTTATAGGCCCTTTTCTAATTAATGGACTATATATTTAACTGTGTATGCTAGACAGCTTGGATAAAGGAAGTAGATTTAAGAGGACCAGGGTGAAAGGTCTCCGTTCAAATCCCTGTTCCGCTATGAAGGCTGCTTTACCCTTTACTCAAACTAAGCAGCCTCACAGGACAGATGAGAGCATAAAATGGGTGCCACCTTCCAAACCTACATAATTATTTATTTCTTTTCATGGAGAAGAAAGGTAAAACAAATTGAGGTGGCAACAGAGGGAATTCTGGGGCAGTAGTCAAGCATCCGACATGTTCACCTACAATGTAGGAATGGGACAAGGCAGCTGTTGTAGAAAACAGGCAAGTTGCAGCTTTATGTTTCGTTTTCTGTAGTCATATTTATGATCTTTCCCCTTAAAGACCTTTGGCTTGACATCAAAGGAGGCGAAACCTCTTAGAAGTCTATGGCTTTTTGGCATGTGTTATCCTATACAGGATTAACTATTTCCTCCCTAGACAGCTTCCAGCACCATAGCATAACAGTCCTTCCCCCAGTGGGGCAGAAGTGCAGGAACAGCCTTCCGGTAGGAGTGTTGCTATCACTTCTGGGTGATAGAGGAAAGGTGTGATAAGGGCTGTGTGACAGCACAGCCCCAACTACACAGTTGCTCGTCCCTCCTCTTGGTCAGCAATACCGATGCTCTACTAGGCAAGCTGCTCTTGCCATATCACACCATACTGCATCCACATCTAGGATGTCACAAAATCACATTAAAAGTGGCTCAGAAGCCAGTGCACGGCTGATTCTCACCACAAACCCTGGTGTGTGATAGAAAATGAAATGTGCACTGTGATTTTTGAAAATGTATCAGTTTTTGAATTTGGGTCATCTGTTTTTCATGTCACGTTTTACATAAACAATTTATTGAAACAGCTCATTGAGTTCCATCAATTTGTATTATTTTTTTTTCAATTGAGATACTTTCAAATGTCAGTCTGCCAGTTTTGGGGGCACAAAAAGGTTCTATACTAAAGACACCTATGCATCTGTTGCACTCTTCAGAAAATCAAAGAGCTTGCATTCAGAATGTACTTAAGTCAAATTTGCACTGGAGTGGGAAGATGTTGATGCCACACTGAAGGTTTGTGAAAGCAGGCTCTCACTTTGGTTGTTTTGTGTCTAGCCTACTTTTGTGAAGGTGTCCATTTTGTGCCACCTTCATTCCACTGCCATTTCCCTGTGGAGAAATACTTCACTCTTTGAAAAATATGCAACATCAATATACTGAGTTTTCATATATCAGCCTGACTTAAAACAGCATTTTCAGATTTAATATACAGTATTATTTTGGGATACTTGATGTATAAGCACACTGTGGTTACCACATGCTCTTGTAGGCATGAGCAAGACTGAACTGTGCTCTTAAGCAGTTAACGGCATGGGACAGATGTTGCCAGTTTCTAATTACCAGCAAATAGTTACCTCATCACTTTTAAAAGATAACATTTCAGTAACTAGACTTTATATTTGTATGCCTTCAATTCATTCTCTAGTGGGTACTGCATCCAGTGTCTACTACACAATAATGTCATACACTCTGCCCACTCTGCCCAACCATTCTCTCACAGCCTGGCGAACTCGAATGTCAGTCACATGACAAGTCAGCTGACTGATGCAAGGGAACACAGCTGGCTGGAGAGCTGTGAAGATCTGGTCTGGAAGGGCCTGAATCTGGTTAAGAACTGTCAATACCATGTTGGTCCATGCCTAAAATGATACAGGGAGAGAAGAAATCTGTAACTATATAGCTGTGTAAAAACATCATGAAAAATATAGCTCATAATGTAAATACGAAGTAATTTCTGAAAAACGTCAGCATCAAACTTAAGTTGCCCAATGAAAAAGTCTTTAAGGTTCAAAACACAGCCTGACACCAAGGGCTGGTCCTATAATTAACTTTTCCACCCCAAGCCATCTTGGTTCACCATGCATATGATTCATTTTGGTAAGGCCGAGATGCATGAAGGAGTAGCTGGTGTGGCAAACGCACTAAAATGAAAAACTAAAAGAAAGGCAAGAGACAGCAATGGAAAGTACTGGATAAGCCAAGTTTTTGTAGGAAGTGTCACAAACCTCCTGTTGAGGCTGGAAGTTACCATAAGAAACTCACAAAGAACCTGAGGTTTGATAGAACATGGGGTATAATGGGCTGCTCTGGCCCAGAGGTTGCAAGGGTCAATGGGCAGGTGGGTGTGGCTGTATGGGACACCATAATATTTTACCCCAAGTGCCCAATGCTTAAGGCTGCCCCTGCAAGCACAAGTGTGTGTTATATTCTACAATAATGAATGCATATTTCCGGAAGACCTGCTTTCTGCTTAATGCCACACGAGGAAAACAACTACTGCAATTGAAAAGGCACATTTTCTTCCATTTTAAGTTTCTCAATCGGCCTGTTTTCTTACCTGTATTTGTGCCTCACCATCCCGGACGGATATGTTGAGTGAACTGACCGTTGACCCAGAGCGTGACCTCTTCTCCTGTCTCAAAATCTCTGGCCCTGCACTGAAGGAGTGCCTCATTTGGCCCTGATCAACCAGATTTTGAGGCCTTTGCGGGAGGGGGGAATCTGGCCCTCTCATGCTTAGTGGGTCCCCTTTCTTGTCGACTTTCATCTCTTTGGCAAAAGTGGCCAGGTTATGCTGCTGTTTCCTTTTCTTATATTCTGTCATGAGCTTCGATATAGTTTTGTCTGTGGCGATGGTGTAGATTTTGTTGCCAGCGCTCTCCCACCACTCTTTTCTCCTGCCTTGGTCTTTCTTCTCTGTTTTGGGGCTCAAGGGCGGAAGCAGCAGTATATCTCCACTCCCTCCCTTGGGAGTGACATTCTCCGTCAGGGAATCCCTGATTTGGCTTTTGTCATCTTCTGAAGGGGTGTCCTTCCCAGAGAGCCCTCCAGTAGATGGGGTGGATGTTTCAGATTGGAAGGACGGAAGGATGAAGAAGGGGTCTCCTCGGAAGACCGGGAGCTCATCGGCACTGCTTTCCAAATCCAGATGCATTTGAATATAGTTGTTGCATAACTCCATGCAGAGCTTATGAAGCCTTTTGATTAACCAAGCCCAGTCTGCATTGCTGACAGGCTGGACACTCAGAGATGGCAGCCTGGCTCTCCACTGCCTCTTCTCCTTCCCCCTTGGTGGGCTTACTTGGGCCGTCTCTTCAAAAATGTCTTCGTCTTCCGAAGAGCACTGTTGGGATGAATCGGTGCTTCTTTCGTCATCTTCAAAGAGGATTTTCTTCACCTGCTCTGCAGTGATGTTTTCCTGGTTGGTCATAATGGCGCAGATCAAGGCATGGAAGTAAATGTTGAAGCTCATCGCCGATTGGCGGTACAAGTTGGCAGCTCCACCAATGCCAGAGACCTTTTTGAGCAGGCACTTCAGCCCAGTCCTCGTATCAAACTCTCTGGCTGTCCGGTAGGAATCCAGCAGCAAGTCAAAGATGACAGCCAAGTTCTGCATAGAAATGTACCCGAGGAAGCCTGCCAGTTTAGTTTCCGGTGGTTGTTGCGCAGCCTTCTCTTCAGAGTGCAAGGGCCCTTTCACAAACTCTTCCAACAAAATATCGTACAAATTCTGCAGCAGCACTTGGTGGGACAGCAGGCTCACTACAATTGTTCTGAAAGGGATACTTCATGCAGCCAAAAGGTGGAAGGAGTTGGGGAAGGAATGACAAACACACTGAGTATCTCAATAATATTTTTATATCACTTGAATTTATATCCTACTGCTCCTCCAAGGAACTACAGCTGGTGAATTTATAACTATATCACAATCATTATGATAGCTACTTACAAAAAATTCCTCAAAACACTATCTCTGTGCCAACCTTCCTTAACCAGGTACTGTTCCAGATATTTTGGACTATAATTCCTATAATTGCTATTGGCAATGTTGATTGGGGCTGATGTGGACTGTAGTCCAGAACACCTGGAGGGTACCAAGTTGGGAAAGGCTGCTCTGGATAAATATTGTCCAGGCAACATGCACAATCCATTTTTTCGCTGCGTTCTCCTACAATTTTGACCCAAACTGAATTTAACACTCCCTGCAAATTAAAATGTTTTTATTTATTATATTAATATGCCACGTTTCCTCCAAGGAGACATATTCTTTGACATTAGTGATTGGGAAACCTGTGCCCCTCCACACGCCACTGGACTCTCAAGTCCCAACAGTCCTAGCTCAGATAGCCGACACTCAGGGATGATGGGAGTTGCAGTCCAGCAACACCCGAAGGGCAATAGGTTCCCCATATTTGCTTTAAAGAGTTATCATGTTAAATCCTCAACATTTATACATTAATATAATGTGTTTTGTAGCATGGATAATTCATTATTATAGCAATGTAACATTAAATAAAACATTATTTGAAAATGGAGGAAAGTGAACAACACCCCAGGGTTTTTATAAGGGAATTTATCAGGAAAAAACTGGGTGTATGTATACCTTGGTATTGCACCAAAGAATACAAATGAAAGGCCAAACATTCAAGCCACAGTGGATATTTGGCCTATTTACCACCATGAATAAGTTTATAGATATGGGTCAGATGATGGTCTGGACAGTGTGCTATTCTCTATTTTGTGTGCATAAAGAAAATAAAAGGTTAAGTCTCTGGCTGCAGTCATAAACTCAATTACCTGGGAATAAGTACCAATGAGTTACTTCCAAATAACAATGCATAGGATTGCAGCTGTAATTAGGAACACAAAGCTAGCATTTTCAGGTGGAGAATATATTATTTGAGCATGAATGAAAACAAACAAATCGGTTTGTTATGCATCCAGTCAGCCTCATGGAAATGTAGCTACCTTGAAATTTGTTTTCTGAGCTTGAATCTCTTCCTCCAGCCCCCAGGCCTTCCATTTCTGCCCATGTCCTTGAAAAATATAATCCTTCTCTTATGCTGTGACACTCTCTAGTGGTTGCACTCTGGCATTCATTTCATGGGCCTCATCAAAAGTGACCCACTATAGAAATTCTCGAGGCAGAAGCTGATGTCTGTCCAAAGTGTTGTGCCCCAGCTGCATGCGGACCTCAGCTCAGTGGCGCAAGGGGCTCTGGGGCTGTGCTTCCCTTTTAAAGTGCATGCAAATCATACAGTGACATATTGAAAAGTGCCAGCATTGTGCATGGGGGCGGGAGAGTCCCCCATATTTCGTGCACTCACACAACACTGTGGTGAGGGGACTATATACATGAAACTTTCTTGTGGGAGTGAAACCTCCCATTCCAAGAACATTTCAGACAGAGGTTCCAGCACATCAAGCGGTTGCAGCTACAGCTGCACTGGCTCAATTCTTGGCAAAAACCAGCCTGAGAATTGGGAGGGGGTGGAATATGTAACCTTTCAACCTAGGCGGTTGGCAAACAGCAGTTTCTTTTATTGCTAGGACTGCCTAGCTAAAACGGTATTTTCTGTGGAAGAGAATAGATATTAAATCAAGGACTTTTATTTTGCCTTTTGCATTAGGCTGAAATGCTCCCTTACCCAAGCTTCCTGTGCATTGATGGGCGGCATTCAAAAAAAAGAAAGGAAAGAAAATCAGATAGGAAAAGAGGAACTCTACAAAAGGCCAGCACGGTTACAGAGCTGTGCATGCAAGACAGGCGCAGGCAAGCAAGCAAACAACCAACTCACTGTTGCAGCAAGCCTTATCAACAGGGAGCAGCCATACTTTACTATGGAACAAGCTGCTAAAACAAATTAGGCAGTAAGGTCCCCTTCATACATCATCTATTTTTTATCACAGTGCTTTCTGTGTAGGCACAACATGGGCAGCATGAACATTATTTTCTCTGGCTCAAGAGTGACTGATTAGGTTATAAAATCGTTATAGCGGGGAAACCCCAGGGGAACAATTGTAGCTCAGTGCTACAGCACACGCTTTACATGCAGAAGGTGCTTGGTTCAGTCCCCTGTTCAATCCCAGGTTAGGATGGGAGAAGCCCCTGAAAATGTGGAAAGCCAATGCCGTTAAGGGGGGAGGGGAGGCAGAAGTAACTCTAAAGAACTTCCAAAATCAGTCACAACAAGCCCTCTGGAAGGATTGGGGGGCAGGGAGGGAGACAGTTTGCACAGCTGTAGGAGAGGCGGTACGTTTTCCCTTCACCCCTATTCTTGACCATCTCTCAGCCGTGAAAGAGAGACCTAACAACAACTATTAACCATGCTAGCTGAATGAACAGAGGCAGTGCAACTGATTGCCAGACATGCAACAGAGGCAAGCATCAATTCAACATCATTTGGTAAGGCATCTGGCTACAAAACAGAGTGCTGGGGCTAGGTCTGATCCAGAAAGAGAATGCTTATATATGTTCCTAAAATGTTGCTCACTGTTGTTACAAAATGCCTTTAATAATAATTATAGCAATTCAGATTTAAGAGCTGGTGGCTTTCTGCAATAACTGCTCGTGAAGCCATGTTTTCCTAAATATCCTTCCCCATATACTGTGACTGGTTTGTATTCTGCATTACAGATGGGAGTCTAAGATCTGCAGTGAAGACCTGCATCTAATGCAAGCTACTGGGACCAAGGTAAGTGTTCAACATGGCCAATCATGGCAAGCGTTTAGTTTGAATCAAGACTGAGATGACAGGATGAGAAAAGTGCCCCTTGAGGGTCAGCATGGATGCCTTTCATGCTTTGCCACAAGAAACAAATCTGCCCAGATTTAAATAGATGTGCAGACTTCCCCTTTACTCCCTGCACCTGTCTCATGTCCTGCTTTGCCCTTTGGGTCTTGTAATAAACAAGTCACCTTACCTTTTCTGCGTATGACCATTGGGCTTCTTGTCAGGAGGCAACTCGATGATAAGCACACAGGACTGAGCATGCTCAAACCCTTCTTTGTTGTTTGGCGTTTTGGGGGAGCACTGTGTGTCTAACATGAACACCTACAAAAACAAATAATACCAACTTGCTAAAGCCCTGGGCCAATTCAGGAAAGGGGATGTAACATAGCAGCAGAGCGCACAATTTGCACATGTAGATGTCCCAGACTCTGGAATTCCCACAGCAGAACTGTGTAAAAGGTTGAGGAGCTTATAAACTGCATCCATTCACAACACAGAGCAGGCAGTAGGGGGTTAGATGGATTGAAGGCCTCATTTGGTACAAGGCAGTTCTTTATATATCCTTAACCCAGGACTGTAAAAGGAATTCTAAAAGTGGCAACACCCAGCACAGCAAGTGATGCTCTCTGCCCAGATAAACCCACTACTGAGTTAAATAGTTAGTTTCAAGTGAGGAAAGAAAAAAAGGAAGACTAGGTTTCATTACAAAAAAGTTTCATGGTCCAGCCCATCCAAAGATTATCAACTTGGCAAGAGAAGAAGCATTCACTAAATGGAGGTGCATCAGGCCTAGCCATCTTAAAATGCTTAATTAATGTTGGCATCAATACCTGACTGTTCCTTAATTGAAATGGTATAAAAAAGACAGCTTAAAACAATTAAGAAATCTCACCATGAACTGTTTGTAAAAGCAAAGCCCACAGGAAACAACCCAGTCACAGTTAAGCATGCAAATCCAACTGATTACTGTAGAAGTGTGAAGCCTGCACCAGTGCCTAGGTTTAACTTAATATGCATTTTGCTTATTATATCTCTCAAAGTCTTCACCTGTTGAGCCATGGCCCGTATTCTCCAATATTCGGCTTCAGCACTAGGAGAGAGGGAAGGGGCTGCCACTTTCACCTCACAGGCATCCCCACTGAAGTTTTCAGAGCCGCTGTGGAAATAGCCCAACAGATTCTGCAGAGAAACAGCACCAGATGTTCAGTGTGTATTCTGAATGCTAAGCAACCAATAGGGTTGATTTTAAAAAAAGATTGTGCTGGGTTATATTAAGCCATGGGTAGGCAAACTAAGGCCCGGGGGATGGATCCGGCCCGCGGATGGTTTGGGAATCACCTTTACATGATTAGAATGTGTCCTTTTATTTAAAATGCATCTCTGGGTTATTTGTGGGGCCTGCCTGATGTTTTTACATGAGTAGAATGTGTCCTTTTATTTAAAATGCATCTCTGGGTTATTTGTGGGGCATAGAAATTCGTTCATTTCCCTCCCCTCAAATATAGTCCGGCCCCCACACAAGGTCTGAGGGACAGTGGACTGGCCCCCTGCTGAAAAAGTTTGCTGACCCCTGGCTGACATCAGTTTCTTTCTCTCTCACACACACACATACCTAATTGATGAACCTGATGTACTTTCATCATCATGTTCTTTCAACTTATTTTTTTAAAAAAGCTTACTTGTGTGTTATTTTTCTAAAGAGCTCACTAGTGACAGTCTGGAAGTGCCCACTAGAATGGGTCGTGCACAGGTTGTACCCCATTTATTTGATCGCCTTAAGTGTGTCTGGAGCTAACTTCAAGCTCCTGCCTGAGCTTATGCAGAGATGTTGTTTTTTCCCATATGAGTAGAGACCATAAGCCATCAAACCATCTGTGATGGTTGAGCCGCTTTCCCAAAGTGCAGAAATCTTGCTGGCTGCTTATACATCATCCACACAGAGATGCTAGTTCAAACAACCAATGCTCCCCAAACCCTCCAAGGTGTTGCTATCTACGTAATCATAGATGAGAGCAACAGTCTAAGAAAATAGTAGCCGCATATTAGCAGAGATGCTTGCGGCACCCGGTTAAATGCAAGGGATACCTTCACTGGCTCAAGAGTTGCTGAGAAGGCATCCTGCAGTGCACAGCATGCCAGCCTCCACATTTCTTCTGTAAAAACAGGACCAGCTGTCACTAGAACATATCTATAGATAAGGGAAAAGACCATGAAGCCGATAACCAGCCAATAACCATTTCACAACATGATTGCAAAACTGGGATTAGCTCAAAAGCCAAAACGACTTTTCTTATTGATGTAGATCTATGAAGAGCCAAGTGAAGCCCAATATATAAGCTTAGATCAAGGCACATTGGAACATCACTTGAACGTGCTCTGTTTGCACTTCCTGTGTAAGGTTTGAAGGAGTAACCATACTTCCAAGTATGAAGGGAAGTGATGCAAACTGCTTTCAAAGCCGCAGAGTTACTGGGTGGACAAGTGCTTTCAAAGTCTGAACTTTGAGTTGGCAAAGAATAATTTGCTGACGTTTTCTGCAGAAGCCTTTAGAACCCATACCTTCTTTAACTAGAGGTAATTTTAACTTTCACATTAGTATTTCATGTCTAATTGTGTGCCCCCCCAAAGGACCTGTGAGGTTTAGTGTTACATGCAAACTGGACCTATGTGTGAAATGAATATAGAAATGAAAGCCATCTTACCTGATACAGGAGCACCCAACTCTAGAGATGGATTCTGTGGGTTCTGCCACACAAGCTACTAGTAATTTGAAGAGGTCTCTGAGCATTGTGTTGATCATATTCTCATAGCCAATATCTAAGGAGGAAATTAGGCTGTTGGCTTTGATATTAACCATAATGTAATAGAATTACAACACAGAGGAACTGCTGCATTTTAAGAAATAAATGCACACGGCATCTTCTTCATGCATGGTCTTGCTGCCCTCTGATCTGGCTATAAACTGGGATATTGCTAATACTCTATTCAGGATAATTAGAGCTACTTGCTTGGCCTGGATCTAGCTTTTGTGCAGTGGGATAATACCAGATGATGTTCAGATCTGTTACAGTTTTACAGTACTATTTTTTCTTATTTATCTTGTTTAATCAAATTCATATGTTTCTAGATTGTTAAAAAAACCACTCAAAGCAGTTTACTATAATGCTGTGACATTTAGTACTGGGGAAAAACCTTTGCCCCAGTTCAGCTAGGATGCTTAGTTACATGTTTCCTCTTCAGAGTAGTGTTTGGATCACTGCCTCAACTCATCTGTCTGTGCTTTAGTCAATGCATTCCTTGCCATGCAGATACCCATGGTGCTGAGTACCTTATAGTCACAGATGGTTTGGGGTCAGAGAGAATGTTTGGTTGGTACTGGAGGCTCAAAACCTAATTTGGGAATCAAATCCCATTCTTAAATGCACTGTGAATGGGTGTTTGAAATTTTCATATGAAGGCTTCCTCAACCTCGGCCCTCCAGATGCTTTTGGTCTACAACTCCCATGATCCCTAGCTAGCAGGACCAGTGGTCAGGGACGATGGGATTTGTAGTCTCAAAAACATCTGGAGAGCCGAGGTTGAGGAAGCCTGATATAAACAGAGCAAGGACAGCTGAGTTGTTTCACTTTTCACTGGAGAAATAAACATTCCAGTGTGTATATGCAAAGCTCACACCCTTTTTAAAAAATTCTACCATAATCTTTTCTCTCTTCCAATAGCAGTTCATCCATGTTTAAAAGGTCTTGATCACACTGTAATCGTTAATGCCAAAACTAAAGTTTGTCTACAAGAGTATGGTTAGAACATATAAGACTACATAAAATTACCTGAATGTATGAAACTCTGAATGTGCTCCACTACTAGTTCACAAGAAAGGCCAATTGCATGCTTGAAATTAGCAGATGCCACATCCCAGTAAGAATGGTCGCCGTGGCTGCGATGAAGCCAAAGGGACATTGTAGGGAGCAGAAGGTGAACAACTGCATAAATACCAAACCCAGGGCCTAGAGAATAAAAACACAAGACAGATAAATATGTTGGGCCTTCAAACAGATGCTTAGGGCTAACTCAGGACAATGCATCCTATATACCCATGGTGGATTCCCTTCCTTGAGACTGACCAGAGAGCAAAGATGCACTGCAAGGAGGGTTTCACTGACAACTGTGCACTTACTGTATATGGAACTTCACCTGCCATTTGCATAGCTTCTTTCATAATTGGCATGCCAGTAATTTACTGGCAGCTTCTCATATTACAATTTCCCCTTTTAAAAAAGCCCCATATATAATGCCTGCACATTTAACATGGAAGTCAACACTCAGGTGGCATCTCTATGATACACTTGCGTATTTTCCTACCTGTGGGTTTGCTACTTTATTAACAGATCTATAAATAGCAGGCATGCCCCCCCCAGTGGCATATAATTCTTATTATTCAAAAAGTGAATTCTAAAGGAAGCCTAAAAGACCATTAACTGTTAATAACTCATTCCTCTAATTGCCCCCCCCCAATCAAACTGCCTAGCTCCCTGTGTCCTTGTTACAAAATACAACAAAATATAACAATTCTAAAATGTTAACAGCAATAAATCAACTAGATGTGTTTGGGGTGATACAAAAGTGCTATCAGAGCTGTGCGAGTCTGTTTGCTCAGCTGATGTTGCAGCCATCAAGTGGTCATGGAGGTAGCCATGTTTCCCCCTGTATAATTCCCCCCGGGAGTGACAGAATGCCACCAAGCTCTGCTGCAGCCAGGGGGACTTGCACAAAGTTCGTCCAAGAAGCAGAGGCAGGGTGCAACCCTCAGAGCACTTTGCATGTAGTACTTCTAACTGTGTGTTTCCAGGCAGTTCAAATGGATTCTCTATTAAAAATCTGCCTGGAGATGGGATGGGATGGACTTTAATGAGCCCACCCATCCCTGCTCCGACCCAGGGGTAGGAATCCTACACTTTAGTAGTAGTCAGTAAATTCAAACCAATTACCAGGTGTTTTGGTAACATCTCTCAATAGTTCAAAGAGCAAATCCAGGGTGGGAGGCTGATGCTGACGGGGGCAGTTGGATATGGCAGTAGTCAACTCTTCAAGCAGAATGATCCAGACATTAATAAGGCCTAGGAAAACAAGACAAAACCGCATGTGAGAAGCTGTGTGTAGCATAGGTTGTGGAATTAATTTTCCTGCCCCATTTCTCTTCCATTTTTCTTTTATAAGTGCTTGAGAGATGCCGATCACTTGGTTCAATCTTCCTGTCAGATTTTACTGATGGTTTTAATGTATTCTTATTGTTCTAGCCTGGCATTTCATTTTACTTCTCTCTTCGTACATGGCAACAATATTTTTGAATGGTGGGAGGATTCTAAATTATTTAGATATAGAAATGCGTAAATGTACAGAATGTAGGTGAGGGGGCTGCACCCTTTTTGGGGGGGGAGGGTCTTGTCGAAGACTGCATTCTTGAGGTAGAACTATCTGTGAATTGACTCTCCCAGAACAGGGTACGATCACAGCATACAGAATGGTGAAGATGTAAAATCACACATCATCGCTGTCACAGGTGCATTATTCCCGTGGGGAAGAGGCAAACCATAGAAGTAAACACAGGAGATTTGTATTGGGTTGAAATAGGCCACAACTTTCATTCATTACAGATGCAAGTAGGTTTTGTCCCAAGGCATTGGGTATGCATCTAGTATTAAGCAACATGCCAACTGTTTGATGAACAGGATGGGGCTTACCCAGAACTTGGTCTGGGGGGGGGTCACTCCTGACATGGATTAGGAGCTACGATCCCACTCAGGCTGCCATTGGGAGGGGTGTTATGGTCCATCGGCCATGTGTGGACTCCCAAACAGAGACACCCCCTGGACCAACTGGATAAAGCATAGCAAGGTCCTCACTCTCGCCTGCCTGCTCATCTTCTGGCAGGCCACTTACAGCCTGGGTGGGTGGGTGGTGAATCCTGTGACAATCTCCCAAGAAGGTGACTACCTGAGGCTGTCCTCTTAAATACAGCAGGGGTGGGCCTAGTTCAGCCCCCTGCCCCTGGGTTCTGACTGGCCTGTTTGGCAGGCCTTCCTAGGAAGCTAGAAGGGAAGATACCAGGCCGTGCAGGAAGAAGATAGCCCCTGGGTCTGGGCTGCGGCTGTAGCAAAAGCTGCTCCCCCAGAGCCCCAGGTGAATGGGGACAAGCCCCATTTGGTAAGTGCTATTTAAGGACGTTCCTCTTTAGGATCACAACAGTAATTTTGCTTACCTGTGTCATCATCAAAATCAGAAAGGACACACTCAATGCCATCTTCACTGCTTGCGGATCGTTCTTGTATTCTTTGGGGTAAGTTGGCAAGTTTCCCACTGAGAAAAATAGGCTTCAGGGGCATTTTGTAGATTTTGGCAAGCAACTAAAAAGGGAGAGAAATGATGAGACTACTCCGCAGTATGTGCTGGCATGACAGTTTCAGAGCTACATGTTGTAGAACATTCACACAGAAAACGATTTGGCTAAAATAGTTTGATATTCTAACAGGAAAGGGTGCGTGTGCCCAGGGATTTTGTCTGGGCTTCTGCTTCAGGCTTCAATGCTACACTCAGAAATGTGGGAGTAACCCCAGGAAACAGAAGGATAACGTGGTGTGTGGTTGCTAAAGATAATATAATCAAGCCACTCCCATATGGGCATGAGACACCACATATCTATCATGCAGGGTGTCTGTCATTTGCTGTACACAGGACCTGATCAAAACCTGAGGATGGAAGTAGCCTAAGATTCCTGGCCTTGTATTTACAAACCCGGTCTTGGCAACTCTGTAAGCAAGCACTTTCCTTAACACCTTCGGTGGGTAACAGTTGCCTCTAGGCAAGTGTTAGGCAACCATCATGTGATCTCTAGGCACATCTAGGCAACCATCATGTGATATCTCTCTCTCTCTCTTCCAAAACAGAGACAAGCCAGCAGCCGTTGATAGCCCAATCACTTTGCTATGTTTCATCAGTAAGAGGAGCGATGGGAAAAGCTGTGGCCACTGTGTTTGAACACTTGCACGGCTTCTGATCTGGCAGAAGAAAGAGCACAGAAATTGGTAACTGTGCTCCCTGTGGCTCCCTGTGGTAATCTGTGCTCCCTGTGGCAAGAGAGAGAAATAGACTACACTGCCAGAATGCGAGAAACCTCAAAGATTTGCTGTGTGTCAGCCAGAGAAATTGTAAGAGGCTCACCATGAGGCTCAGGGCTTTTCTGCATGCTGCAGTGACCAACCTGTTTACACAAGAAAGAGCCGCTACAGGGAGCCTCTACCCCATTGTGGATGCCATTTCAAGCAGCTTTTAGCATCCTTGCGCTCACCTGAGAACACCGCCTGAGGTAATCAAGAGCAGGAAGGCACAAGTCTGTAGACATGGATCCTGATCCTGGCACACAATCCCCAACCTCCTTGCAATCTGCCTCCCCTGGGATGAAAGAAAGAAAACGTCTAAGCAGAACATAATGCTGGTCTGAATGCTCTTAATTACTATGACCCTGTATGGTGATTATGGAATCCAGAGGGATTCACAAAATGCACACAGCAGTTATGAGGAATAACTTGCGGAGGAGGATGAAGAAATGTCTTGGTGAAAATGTTAGACATAGTATGTTCAGTCCTGCCTGCACAGAGGGATTCTATTGTAGGGCCATCCCACTCCTCCTGTCATATATTTCCATGCTCTATACAGATGGCCAGAATGATCACGTCAAAGTTGGCCCTTTTGTGCCTCATTTCCATTGAAGCACCCAGCGACCCTGCACCCCAGGTGCAGTTTTGTTCTCTTAATGTGCAACAAGGAGGAGTGGTTGCCAACTGCTTTAACACGAGGTGTGGGAGGACCTCCTATGCAGAGAATGCTTTGGTTCATAATAATAACATTAACAACTACATTGTGCAAGATGGGACAAACCCCACAGTATCTTTTCTAGCTTAGAAACATAAGGAAGAAATGTCGCCAGGACATCACTCCTGCCCTGCCCTTTGTGAGACTTCTTTAAGCTTTTCATTATTATTATTATTGTATGAAGGTCTCATTGACACTGTTCCCCACTCCACCCTCATCACCAGGAAAGAGCAGTTAACTTTTTGTAGACAGAATCTCTTTCACAACTGTGAGGATGCCTGGCAAATGCCAATGCAGTTAAAAAAAAGAAAGAATACCTACAAAAATCATACAAAAATCCCAGGACTTCATACCTCTAAAATGCATTCATAGCCTTTGTTGACATTCAGTAAACTGTTTGCATCTGTCTCCACAAACATTAAACCCTAAAGTAAACATACAGATGGATATACCGTATTTAAAAGGTTCCTTACCCAATCCTTTGACAAACTTCATAAGGCACATGATATAACTGGTGGCTGCATTTGCAAAGACCTGGATGTTGTCTGTATTTAAAAATGCTTCAAAGACATCAAACACAGGTGCCTGGCATTTTCCTAAGGGAGCAAGAATAATTGTTTAGCTGATACAGATACACATTACCTGGAAAAGCCCGTGATTTTTTAACTTGCTTCAAATTAATGTGCAATGCAATTCTATATTTGCTTGGAAGCAAGCCCCACAGTATTCAGTGGCTTTACTACAAGGAAAATGGGAATAAATTTTCAGAGTCAAAATGGCTCTTCCAGATTTTGGGGTTTCAGGTGCCATACTGCACAGGGACTTTACAAGTCTTCTGTACAACTGGAGACACTGGCCTTCATCTAACTGTGCAGATGTAGCAATTGGGTCTGTGTATGTATCCGTATTAAATCACTGAGAACCAAGCTTTGGTTTTCCTTAAGTGAGATCCTGATTCAGACCTGAAATGAAGTGAGCAGCCTCCAAAACAGTTTGAGCCAAATCAGGCCACTGAACCAAATCTTGCATTCATTGCTCACTCACAGTTGATACAGACAAACCTAGTATATGTATTTTTGAAAATTCCTTGAAGATGCTTTTATACTGCTTACTATTAATATCTCAAAAGTGGTTTACAACATAAAAACATTTATGTTATTAAATGCAGCTGCTAGAGACAAGCATAGTCAAATTATGTTGGTTAGTGACTGACAGCACAATCCTATATGCATAGAAGGAAGTCCCAGTGAGTTCAAAGGGGCTCATCCATTTTCTACAACGAACAGAAAAAAATTATATTGACATGATTTTTAAACATGTGGGGGAAATGTTACACTCACCATAAAGACCTTCCAGACCTCTGTTGTGATGTAAAAACTTCACAGTAGCTCAGATCTACTCATTTATTTAGTATGTTTTTGGATAGTCTACTATATGGATTGTGTTGCCTTTCAAACACTGACCCTTTAAAAACCCAGTAACCTAAACAGTGGTATCTAGAAAACTGTAGAAAGGTCTTACCCATTGAATACTCTCCAACAAGGTATTCCTTAACCTCCGACTTGCTGCTACTGCGCACAGTTTCTAGTGCGCTGAACAATGGCCTCCACCCTGACTGGATCCGAGTTGAGCACACCTCCACCAGCTCGCCTATGGATGTGATCACCTGGCACAATCAGAGCACACAAAGCATTGCAGAAGTAAATAAACCAGCACAGAGAATATACTGTGTGAGAAATGCAGAAGCAGATCAGCAGGTGGGGTGGAGATACCACAGCAGCTTCCCAGGAGCAGGGTCTCTGTGGCTTATCAGGAGCTGGGGGAGGTTGCAGCCGGGTAAATGCACTGGTGAGGCCATTCCGGTGCTCCTATGGGTGTTCTTTGTAGTGTGTCAACCTCTCCACTGCCCTGCCACTCCTGGTAAGCAACAGTGGCCCACCTGCTGGAAAGCTAACTCTGCCACCCTGGTGAGCCACTTCTGATTTTATATACGCAACTGAATAATGCTACCAGGTTATTTATTTTTTTATAGGAGACCTACATGACTTGAGTAGAAAGCAATACAATTGTTGATAACATTTTTCTAATTATAATTAAAAAAATAACCCGCACTATGGCAACACAAATAAGCACTGAATTGTGAGGCCAACATCCTATGCATATTAAACAGAGCATTTTGTTTCTTTTTCAGATGCGCATGATAATTTGACGTTCCGGCTCTGGAAATCCAACTAAAAACCCTTCCTGACTTTGGTGGTGTTGCTAGCTATTGCTCACACTCTTTAAAAGAGACTGTGGCTTTCCTCCATCACCCCTGACCATTGGACATGCTGGCTGGGGCTGATGGGAATTGGGATCCAGCAACACCTGCTTCAGAAACTTGAAGGATGGACACTTCAAATGAAATTCTCCCAATGCTAAACCCTTTCCAGTATAAAATACAAACAAGCCCTGCACAGAATCTTCTCTTGCCATTTCCCATTCCCAGGAAGCAACTGAAAGGATTGCGATTGCTAGGCATATAATAGGAATCAAAGTGGTCTTGCAGTTGAAGTTAGGCTGTTGCCATTATAAATGAGGTTTAGCTTGCCTGGTCCTGGACATCTTCGTCACAGAGTTCCAGCTGCATGATACGCTCAAAGGGGCGGAAGAGGGCCTCATTCAAGTGAAAATGAGGGGGCTCATTCCAGTCTGTCAGAACCTCAGTTAGGATGTCGTGGATGAAAGAGACAGCCTTCCGAGAAACATGCCTTTCTTTATGGCAGGCAGCCTGCAGCAACAAGAAGAGTAAAAAGCAGGATTTCAGTCAAGCAAAAAATGCCTTTTCGACAAGAAATGGCAAGGACTGTTACTTAGGAGGAGGGTGGGAGAGAATTCAAAGAAAATCTGGTGAGGCCTAGCATTAAAAATGTCTACAGTAAGTACAACAAGGAAATCTGTTTGAGCTAGATTTCATGTTACAATGCCATTTTAATTTTATTTTCCCTTTTTTATCTCCCCGAGCTATTTGATTTCCTTAGACTGTGATCCCCTTAGAAAAATGGCTGTATGTCGTTCTGAGCCCATGAGATAGAGGGGAGACATAAATAAACCAAACAAACATACAAACGGCCAACCTATCATGAAGAAATGAATAAAGCTGTTTTTATGAGGATCTGTCTAAGAACTGTGCTAGGCTGATGGCTATAATCTGCAAATTTCCAGAGTATAATCTTTCTTAGTGCTTCGTTCACCTGTACATTCTCTTTTTCAAGTACATTAATTAACATTGTGACTGCCCTTTGCAATTTTTACAATACACAGAGAAATTGCATGGGCGGGGGGGGGGAGAAGCCTTTGTAATCCTCTCACCTCCACTAGGTGAGGGGCCACCAAGTTCCAGCAGCGCATAAGATGGAGAAGAGGGCGGCATTTACTCCTTACAATTCGGAGCATGGCCCCTCCAAGACGGAACAAGTGGAGGGCACTTCTCCTGTCTTGGGTAGATTTTACTTCACCTACCAAGGCAAAAAAGACAGTGCAGAGTAATTGATAATATAAATTGAATACATGGTATAGCATGCACGCACACACACACATAAATATAAATATAGGATGCTTTGTGTCTTAAGAGGCTTACCTGGCATTGCCAAGGAGTAATCAACAGTGTCTGTAACTGAGTGGAAGAGCTGGGACTGAGAGGCTTTCTTCAGCTGATACAGGAAACCTCCCAATGCCATCAGATTCAACTTGTCAACAGCATCTTCAAATAGCCTTCGGGCAAAAAGGCAGAATATATTACTTGACCTGGCCAAATCATAGAATTGTAGAGTTGGAAGGGACCCCAAGAGTCATCTAGCCCTGCAATGCAGGAATCTTGACACACGGCTCCCCATCCAATTGGAAACCATATGGGAACCTGCTTAGCTTTGCAAATGTGCCAGCAGTTTTACTGCTGCATCGCTAGGGGGACATGGAGTCTGACTTTTAAAATACACAAACAAATGAGCCCGGCGTGGAAGTAGGGGGAAAAGAAGTAAACCAGCACAAGTACCTGGGAGAAGTAAAAACTGCATGCCCATTAGTGGGGCTGTATATATTTTACAACATTCATTGATGTTTTTCTGGTGCTGGCAGCATTGCACTAGAATGTCACCATGTGCAAATTTTGGATATTCACAGTAACACATCCATGATGGTTTCTTGAAGAAACTCAGAACATGTAGGAACTGTCAAATGTGATGCCAACCATACCTGTCTGCCTGGGTGGAGAGGGTAAGGATAGCTTTGGCAGCGTTGCTTCCAGTCATCAGGCTGCCCCCACGGAAATCAAACGCTCTTCCCTTGCTACTTTCTTTGATGAGCTCCTGAATGGAAACCGGCTGGATTACAGGATTATTCCTCAGTGCAGTCTCTTGATCTAGAGTGAGTTCCTGGGTGCTGTCTGTAGATTGAACATCTCCCTGAAGCCCATCTGTGGCCTGTTGGCCCTGGGTAATAGTTACCGGTGGCTGAGATGTCGCGTCACTGAAATGAGCATGTTCCAGTGTGCTGATGTACTCACAAACTCTGAAAAAACAAAGCAAAAGGACAGAGGACCTTATTGGTTTTTTCCATTGCATACAACATTTACTCTTTGAGGATGATCTACAGTAGTCTTAAGCCTCCTGAAATGAAAAGCTCTTTTGGAAGCAAGGTGTCACTGGACTAGGTAAAGGTAAAGGGACCCCTGACCATTAGGTCCAGTTGTGACCAACTCTGGGGTTGCGGCACTCATCTCGCTTTATTGGCCGAGGGAGCTGGCGTACAGCTTCCGGGTCATGTGGCCAGCATGACTAAGCCGCTTCTGGCGAACCACAGCAGCGCACGGAAACGCCGTTTACCTTCCCACCGGAGCGGTACCTATTGATATACTTGCACTTTGAAGTGCTTTCGAACTGCTAGGTTGGCAGGAGCTGGGACCGAACAACAGGAGCTCACCCCGTTGCGGGGATTCGAACCGCCAACCTTCTGATTGGCAAGTCCTAGGCTCTGTGGTTTAACCCACAGTGCCACCTGCGTCCCTGTCACTGGACTAGCTAGTCATAAACTTAAACTTTCCTTACAACATTACTGACTTTTAAAAACATTTTAAATTACATTTATATTTTAGATGCAGCTGTTGCATAACAGAGAGTGAATTTTCAATGCTCGAATATATAAAAATAAGATACATAATAATACAAGGATTATTGTCTGGATTATCTAGAGTCACCATAACTGATGACTATAGACCAGAATATAAACTAGAGACCAGGAGGGAGCAAAGTGACGATGATCTTTGCACTGGAAAATTACACACTTGTGCATGTGTACTAAGCCATACTTGGAGTTTAGTGTGACTTGCAAATTGGTCCTGTATGCAGTGAACTGTCAAATGTGTATTGAGCTCCTACCTAAATAGTTATTGCCCATTGAATGGGGGATAGTCACTGTTTTAAAAAGTACTGTTTCATTTTCTTTTTGCAGTAGAAGCACACTGCCTGGTTACTTTTATGGAATCGAAAAAAGTACACCAAACACACTGAACAGCAAACTAGGTACCTGCCAATCAACGTGTATTGTCAGTTTCAAAGAAATGTTGTGTTGGAGTCTAGCCTAAACTGCCTCAAACTGAAGATGGAATACAGTTTCCAATTCCATACCTAAATACGTGCGGCCAGCAGTCTTGATTGTGGCTTCCCATCTCCAGCCCCACATTAAGAATGGCATCCATGCACAAAACGTGGGCTGTGTGGAGGCAGACCCCTTGCACTTTCCCCATCTGTTCCAGTCTTTGCTCCACCTTCTGTTTCACTGTGCCATTACAAATATAAATGTTAGAAATAAAGAATCTCTTGTTACGTCTAACACAAGAAAGGCTTCTGTATAGGAGAGAACTGTTATTGAACTGTTATTGTAGAGGGTTTTTTTTTCTTTTAAAAAGCAAACAAACTCATTTTCAGCTTCTTTCAAGGTTTGCACACAAGCCCTAGTCTTTTTTCTTGCCTTCACCAAATAAGTAAGAAAATGGATCGTGCTCCCTGGAACAAACTTGCACGTGTTCAGTGGGAAGTGTGAAAGGAGCTGTATAAAGGAAAGAGTCTTATGTATGATTGGAAACCCATATTGGGCAAGTTTCCAGATTACATGGAGGAGTCTACACAGAGGGAACTGTGCGCAGAGAGCCTGCTTCATACCTCTTGCTGAATGCGCAGAGGCTGGGCAGGATGAGTGGGTCCAATCCTGACGTCTCCTCTCTTCAGGCAGTGTTTAACAAAAGTGTAGAAAGGGCTTGAGAGTTCACTATAGTTGAAACAACTGATTTCTGAACATCGTATGCAGCTACTAGTGCCTTACTTTATTTAAATCATAGAACCATGTTGAATCAATTTATCTGGGAATAAGCCCCATTGGTATCTATGCTGCTTATGCTCAGGAAAAGCAGGTAATACCGAGCAATAAACAAGAACTGCAGTGAGATTCTTCACCCCACCCAACCATTTTCAGATCTAGGTAGGCTCTACCTCTCTGTAGGCAGGCAGGCAGCCATTGCTGATCTTTACAGTAGAGGTAAAGGGAGACATCCCTATTACAAGGCAGGGCCAGGACAATTACATTTGACAAGGCTTCCAGCTACATATAATCTTAATACATGACAAACACATGGCTGGTATCATCACTAATGGTAACCAGTGGATCCCCTTGATGAGTCGTACCTTGAGCTATGGTGTCACTGGGTTCCTGCACCTCTTTTTCCTCTTTCTCCTCTTGAACACATGAAGCTGCGGCCATCTGAGCAAGGGCAGATGCGCAATTAGCAGCAACCCCTGCAGCAAGAAACAGGTCTATTGAATTTCTGTGCCTCCCACTAGCCATATATGCGGCAGCTAGACTGATGACTGGGAGTGGCCACCGAGACCATATAACACTGGTCCCGAAAGACCTACATTGGCTCCCAGTACATTTCTGAGCACAATTCAAAGTTGTGAGTGCTGACCTTTAAAGCCCTAAACAGCCTTGGCCCAGTATACCTGAAGGAGCGTCTCCACCCCCATTGTTCAGCCGGGACACTGAGGTCCAGCGCCGAGGGCCTTCTGGCTGTTCCCTCACTGTGAGAAGCGAGGTTATGGAACCAGGCAGAGGGCCTTCTCGGTAGTGGCACCTGCCCTGTGGAACACCCTCCCATCAGATGTCAAAGAAATAAACAACTGCCTGACTTTAAGACATCTGAAGGCAGCCCTGTTTAGGGAAGTTTTTAATGTTTGATGTCTTATAGTGTTTTTAATATTCTGTTGGGAGCAGCCCAGAGTGGCTGGGGAAACCAGCTGGTATAAATATATACCAGCTGAAACACTGGCAATATAAGGAGAAATATATAGGGGGAAGTGAACCCAGCTTACTGCTTGCTTCTGTTTTTCAAGCTGCCACATTTGGGTGTTGCATGGATGACATCTACCTGCCCAAATTTAATTAAAAAAGGTGCCTATGCTGATGAGTGCATTATACCTAAAGCACAGCTAAGGCGAGCTGCCTTTCTCAGTCCATCCAGACTCATGCAGATGGCATCCTTCTCCTTCTGGTTCTGCTCCTTGACTCCTTCGGCTCCTAGAATGAAGGCTAATCCTTTGGAGCTGCCTGCCATGCGGCCGGTTAGAGGCGTGGATAAAGTGTCAATCAAATTCTTCCAGCAACCAATTAGCAGGTATCGGGCAAAAGCAGTACCTGAAGCAGCAGAAAGGAAAAACAAATAGTTTATTGGGAGTCTTGGGAAATACAAGCATCAGTCAGAGCCAAGACTGACATGACGCAAACAGCATCATTATGCACCCCTTTGACACCTTTCAGGACAAAATTGCAGTTTTGTGGTTGCAGTTTTTGTTACAGCTGTAAGGTTTTAAATGGTTTTTAAATTGTTGTGACCTGCACTGGGACCTGGAGTGAAGGGTGGGTAATCAATTAAAATAATAAGAATACGAAGCATGTCAGGTTCCCCCCACCACACACCTTAATTAACAGGCGGTATGGAGACACATGCTTTTCATCATGACTGGAGAGAGCTGGGACGAACGTTTAAAATCCATCATTTTAAGCCATGTTGCTAGCTCCACTCCCAAATTAGCCCTGCTTCCCAGTATGCGATATATGAAAAGTAATCCTTTGGTGGTTTTGCATCATAGAATCAGTGAACTGTAGATCTGGAAGGGATCCTGAGGGTAATCTAGTCCCGGCCCCTGCAATGCAGGAATCTCAACTAAAGCATCCATTACAGATGGCCATCCAACTTCTGCTTAAAAACCACCAATATGTTTGTGTGTGTGTGTGTGTTATAGAATCATTGCATTTTAACTTTATGTAAGTCACTTTCAGCTATTTTTGTAAAAAGCGTCAAATGAAATAAATAATAATAATTTATTTAAAACACAGTTCCTGGATCAGCATATGTTCATGTGCGTAGACATGAGAGATACAGAAACCGAGAAGGAAGCTTTACCTAACTCACATCCAGCATAAAAATATGAAGGTTAAGTGATTGGGGGGGTGTATATGAAATACTACAAATATATACCAATGTGGCTCATGGTTCCCTTGATGCAGATCCTTTACCTGCAAGAACAGCATCATCTGGCTTCCGGGTGTGGGTGAGAGGAGACTGCGAGGATGCAGAGGCCATCAGCTGCCCACCTATTGTGCTGCTCCCCAAACCATCAATGTCTGGAAAGAAAAACAACAAGAAGTTACTACTATGGGATAAAGGGGGGGGGAACACCTAAGGGACAACTGCCTCATGAATTCCCTCAAGTGAGTTGCAGAGGAATGTGTGCTACGTCTCCACTAGTATGAGATTGATCCAACAGTGTTGCTCAGCTGACAGTAAAGCCTTTAACACTGGAAGGGAAGTCATTTTCAGTGGCTCTTCTTTCCTCCTGAGGTTCCCTCCCCCACTCTAAATCTGCTCCAGAGAATTGTGGGGACTCTCCACAGCAGATTTAAGGAGGACATGGGCAGAGGGGGGACGGGCTACAGGTGAGAAGAAAAATTACCTTCAAGCCTGTTCCACTGACAGAAGCTTTGCTGTTGCCACTGGATACAGGCCATTTTACAAGTGATATAAGAAAGCTCTGGCTGTGGCATTTGATATTTATAATGATTTATTGTTGTTATTTCATGTTGCAATAGATGGAGGTACTTCCGTAAAGTCAGACTGAGCCACTAAAACAAAGCAACTGCAAAATGTAAGTTACTGCAGTCATAAATGGCATTATAAAAATCAGGTGTGGGTATCCTTTTTGGCCTGGTGGGTCAGGTCTTTCTAAGTCCCCAACCCCTACTGGTTGGTTAACAGACAGGTGGGCAGGACAACCCACTGGTCAGTCACCTGGCATCATTATGATAATACAACAATTCCCGTCATAATGATACATGACCCTGACCACTGGCCATGATGACTGCGACTGGGATATTCTGCACACTCAATGCATTGAGCCAAAGATGTGTATTTAATTCTATATCACCCTGGTATTCAAATCATACTGACCAGTCAGCATGGTGATGAGTGGGAGGCTGTGCTCTTCAGGGCTCCCCCAATATCCTGCCTCTCCAAGAAGATTTCTCTCCAGCACTTGATGGTAAAGCTCTTCGACCCAAGCCTGAGAAAATACCATCAAAACTCCACTGGATTGGACCTGCTTCATAAACTCCTTCTGCAGAATGGAACAGCACAATTCAGCTACCACTGCATTACTGGGCATGTTGCTTTTCCTCAGAGACTTCTAGAAACATACAGACATGATCAGGAGCATAAAACCAAGGTGACAAGCATAGATAAAATTATGCATCTGTCAGTACACATAATAACCACCCGTCTTTCTCTCTGATGCAGTTCAGATGTGACACCAAACCATAATGTCATATACTTGTGCAAAAAAGAGCCTCAGGGTGGCTTCTCTCTCACACCCCCCGCCATGTTTCCCTAACTTCCTTTTGGTTCTTAGCAAACCATAGGTTCTTGTCCAAGCACAACAAACTATAGTTTGTGCAAAGTGGAGAATGATGAGGTTCAGGAAGCACTTTTCTCCTTATGGTGAAAGAACCAGGGGACAAAACTCCCCTTGAGCCTGGTGGCAAATACATTTTCATTTTTCCTTCCCATAGTATTTTTTAAGAATGGCATTTGTAAAATATTGTCCTCTCTACTTTCTGAAGTCTCCTACCCTTTAAACCCACGAAAAAGACAAAAACTGATTTGGGACCCAGTTGCTCCAATTTAATGCTCCCCTGGGTTCAACCTGCATCAAATCTGAGTACTTCATATTTATTCACTGAGCTGCGGACCAACAAGCTATAAGAAGTCAGGGTAGTTGCAAATGTGTGTTGTTCTTCACCATACCCAGCACTGCATTCCACTCACCATGACGACGGGGGACTGGCCAGGCTTCTTTCGGTAGTAATCTGCATTGGACAGCTTCAGGTTGAGCAGGAGAGTATAATGAGAGACCATATAGAGACTATCTGCATTCATCAGTGTCTGGAAGCTATAGGCAACATTCCCTTCAAATCCTGGAGAGTGCATCATACCTACCAAAAAAACAGAGAGCTCTAGCAAGTGCCTTGTAAGAGAAATCTTGCTTTAGAGATTCAAGGCCGCTTCCTTTTTATATGGCGATTTACCAGTTACTGCACTATAACTCACATTTCTGTAACTACATGATCAGAAACTTTTACTGCGCTAGCCAAATGCCTTCCACAGCCCCAGTGGAGACTGCCCTATTTCGAACAAAGTAAAGGTAAAGGACACCTGGACGGTTAAGTCCAGTCAAAGGCGACTACGGGGTTGCAGTGCTCACCTTGCTTTCAGGCCAAGGGAGCTGGCGTTTGTCCACAGACAGCTTTCCGGGTCATGTGGCCAGCATGACTAAACTGCTTCTGGTTAACGAAACACCGTGACAGAAGCCAGAGTGCACGGAAATGCAATTTACCTTCCCACTGCAGCGGTACTCATTTATCTACTTGCACTGATATACTTTCGAACTGCTAGGTTGGCAGAAGCAGGGACAGAGCAGCAGGAGTTCACCCCATCACATGGATTCGAACTGCCGACCTTCCGATTGGCAAGCCCAAGGGGCTCAGTGCTTTAGACCACAGCGCCACCCACTCCCATGAAGAAAGTAGATGCCGCTGTCAGCAATGCATTAAAACAGACTGGTGTAGTAAATAAAGCACTGGATTTTGTTTGGGTTTCAATACATAGAACCTTTATACATAGAACCTTGCTTTGCGCAGAACCTTTACAGAATATATTGGAGGAAGGGTCTCAAAACATCATAAAGGCACACTTTTGCATACAAAAGCAGTTTACTATATTAGTGGGCGCAGCTTATTAGTAATGTGGAGAACAGCTTGCTTCTTAAATAAAGCTAAACATGAACATCCAGTAGTCAAGTGTACTAAAACATTTGAGCCTCTGGCTTATGGGATAATTTGCTCTGGAAATTGATTAGCATTCAAGAGTCCCCATATACTACTGTAACCCTACTGTTATGTACATCGTATACACAGCTTATAAACTTGACACTAGGATAATGTGGTGTGACTGAAATGTTATGTTAAAACTGTGCTTGCTGAACAGTTTTATGTAATATAATACAACAGGTTATAATAGGCTGATTTGTCAAAAATGCAGAAATACAAATGGAAACTGCTGTGTCAGAATGAAAATTCCACAAGGATTTTGCTGGAAAAATCCATGAGCAGCAGACTGGAATTTTGTACCTTGTTTGTAGATCTTTCCTAAGCAGTCCATAAGGGTTCAGATTCTTATATATAACTTTTTCATGCTGCCTATTGAGATCAAGTAGGCACCTTTACTGAACTCTTTTCAACATTTGCTAAAAACATTCTTGTTTAGACAAGCCTACCCAAATGTTTAGAAAGCTGAGGTGATTTTAACCTGTTTTAGTATTTTAACTTATGTATATTTTAAAGAAGGTTGTAATTTTTTTCTGCTTTCATTGCCTTATCTTTCGGGTAAATCACTTTGAGAGTTTCTACAATCAAGCAGTGCAAAAATCTTATGAAATGAATAAATTAAATAAATACGTTTTCATTCTTTAGTAGGAAAAAAAATAGTGACATTGGAGCCAGGCCACACAGACGTGCCTTGCATCAACTCCAGAATTAATTCACAGGGCTGCAAATGGATTAGAATGCAGATTCTCTCAAAAATATCTGAAAAGAGTATTTGACATATCAAAGACCCTTAATCAGCAGTGCTCTGCATTGTCCATTTAATACTGGCTGTGAAGATAAATAATAATAATAATAATTTATTATACCCCGCCCATCTGGCTGGGTTTCCCCAGCCACTCTGGGTGGGCAGCTTCCAACTGAATATTAAAAACAATACAGCACCAGACATTAAAAACTTCCCTAAACAGAGTTGCCTTCAGTTTGTCTTTTAAAAGTAGAACAGTTGTTTAATGATCACCAACCTGAACAAAAAGTTGAAGCAAAGTTCTGGAGGGCCAAATCAACATCTTCCACTTTAGAAAGAGCGATAAGTCGAGGGAGAAGAGCTTCAAGGGACTGGATGAATAATCTGGCACTGTGCTGATCTGCTTCCTGGTTCTTCAGAAGTTTCAAGGAAAGGGCAGCAGTTCGTAAGGATTTGTGACCTGGACAGTCTCTTGGGGTCTGCTCTTCATCAGCCAACGAGCAATTGTCTGAGCCTATGTCTGAAACATCTGACCTTCCAGAATCTTTCTCTGCTGCCATGGAATATTGGTCACATGAATCAAATTCAGTCCTAGAAAGATCTTGGTCATCAACACTGAAATTGCTCTCACTGTACCTGGATCCACAAGAACGTGCCCTGCAGTCAACTGAAAGAAAATTAGTTATATCCGGATAAACAACTGTATGGCTCCATTGAACAACATCTGGCTGGTCAATGGTTTCTGATTCTGGGTCTTTATAATGAATTTCTTTACCCATTTGTCCAGCCGGTGACTGGAGAGAATTTTTACGAATTTCAGAACGATCTTCTGGAGTGGTCTGCCCCATTTCACCTTCCAAGGTTGTCTGACCAGTATCTGTGGTGACACTAATACTAATGTCAGGACTCTTTTCATTGCCAGTTTCCCAGGGGGTATGGGTATGCTCTGATGACAGGATGCGCCTTTGCCACCTAAAATCGGCATCGTTGATCTCCATGGAATCTCTGCTTGTCTCGCCCCCATCCTTTAACTCGTCCATACGTCGGAGAAGCAGATGGACCTGCTCCTCATCAAGGCCTTTCCCTTGACTGAGATCATCCAGGGTGCCAAGGAGGGCACAGACACAGGACACTGAAGCATAGCAAGCTTCAATTCCACCTTTCGCGCAAGCTTCACTCATCCCGTCCAAGATACTACAATAAATAAAAACAAGACACACTTTACTCTCTCTTTTTTTCTTAATTGGAAAAGCGTGCATTTTAAAAAAGGATTATTGGCTTAAGGAAACCTAATAGAACATACAGTTTGAGAAGATCCAGGTGGGACTTCCTTTTCGAAATCGACCTTTTCCTGCATTCTGGTTCAGTAGAGCAGGGGCCTGCCAAATCGCAGAGCCGCCGAGGACTGCCAAGTATCTAAATTTGTATGAAATATAAAAAACTCTTCACAGATCAAATGCAGGGTGCTGGAACAAACCTTATTTCTTCAGTAAGCTGATCTGCCCCAGGATGCATTGAGCTTATTAATTCAAGGATGCAGGATGTACCCATCAATTTATTAACAGACGTTGGTTTCAGAAAGCAGATAAAACCTGTGTTAGCTTGCCAACACTGACGGCCTAAATGTTACAGAGCAGCCCTGGCCTACCTCTCTAAGGCATCCCTACACCTCCATTCCTCGAGATCAGTTTGGAGTAGCCCTGCTTGGCATCTCTTCTTCACATGTTGCAAAACTGGAGGGAGGGGCAGGGGTCAGATGGCCAGAGACTTTGGTGCCGGAATTTGGAGCTAATTGCTCCGGGAGTCCTCTCAGATTACTTCACTGTCTGAATTCAGCTCTAGAATGAAGACTTTTTAATATATAATTTTTATTTGATTTTTTTGTTAATGTGCCAAGAAAGAAAAGAAAACGAAAAACGAAAATAATAATGAACAAAATATTATTTACAAAACAATAAGGCAAAAATTGGTCTTCTGACTGTAGACCCGACCTCCCATCTGTTCCTTACTTCAATTGTATATTACTTGTTGCCAATACACACTTTTGTTATGATCTAACTAATTCTTAATTTAACTTAGGTCTCATATCTTTCTTGAAGCTACTACTGAAATGATTCAAATGCTGTGACAGAGTTTAAACTGCTGTAGTTATTTTTCAAATATATTTTAAAGACTTCCCATTTTGAGACAAATTCCTGCTTTGGTTTATTCTTTATTTTTTCTGATAAGCTATCTAACTCCACATATTCTGTCAGTTTTTGAGTCCATAGAATGAAGACTTTTTAATTACTTGTGTTTTACTTTGAAATGTTATGGTTGGGTTTGTGTCCCTCCCCTGCTTCTTTTATCATTGCATTTATTGTTTCATACGAAAACAATCTATATACAGAATTGCTTTTTGAATATGAACTCTTTGTAGTCAATAAAGGAAACTGGGGGTGGATGGGTCGATAAAGGAGTCGAGATGGGTACAAACAAAATGGTATTTGCATTTAGCTCACCTCTTTCATGATCTTGATAGCCTCCACTCTGTGCTGAGGTGGAGGGTACAGAAGCATTCGGTGATAAAGAGACTGAAGGACCGGCTTCATGGACTCCACCGATCCCATCAATCGGACAAGTTCTGCTGCAATGTAATAGATTGTCCGGGCAGCAGGACTGCTAAGGGCAGGTGCATTGGAAGAGCAACCTGACCCTCTGCCATGATCGGAGACCCCTGAGGAAGGAGAATCAGCTTCGTGGAAGATGTTGCTGTGAGCAGAGGTGATGGTTTTGTCATGGACTGGATTTCCCAAGATTACTACAAGAGCCGGGCACAGCTGCTTCCTGAAAAAGAAAAGCAGTGTGGGAACGAAACAGACAAACAAATAGGTGGCAAAAGGGGAGGAATCAACACACTACAGTGGTACCTCGGTTTAGGGTACTTAATCCGTTCCCAAAGTCTGTTCTTAAACCAAAACCATTCTTAAACCGAGGTACACTTTCCCTAATTAGGCCTCCCGCTACCGGTGCCCTTCCACCGTTCAGCTTCCATTTGTACACCAAGGTAATGTCAGGTGGTGAGGTGGTTGCTCATGAGTAACCAGGCAGGACTCTGACCTGTCTTTTGCAGGTTTTTATTTTGTGCAAACTATTTACAGTGCAGAACCACAAAGTTCATGTCCGTCTTAGTCACTTGCAGATTCCGGGAGTGGCCCCTTCCAGTCCCCCCCCCCAGCATAAGAACTTAGACACCCCAAATCTCTGCCTCCCCTCCTTAAGTTTCACCCCTCTGCACAAACTGGGTGACGGAAACGGCGTGCCTGTTTCCTGGTCGGCCGGGAAAGATGAGGCGCTTCGGCTCTCAGTAGCATCTTTGAGCCCTCCCCTCGCTCGGCTTTCCCCTTCCTCTCCTGCTCCACTGGAGGTGTGGCTTTCCCCACCACTCGAAGAGGGGCTGCTCCTCAGAAGCATAGGAGGCTCTCTGTATCCCTCTCCCTCCCCCCCCCCGTTGCGATGGCAGTCCCCTGACAGTAGAGTTCGCTAACCGGAACACTACTTCCACTTTTGCAGGGTTTGTATACTGAATATTTCGTAAACAGGGCTGTTCTTAAACCGAGGTACCACTGTACTCACATTGGACAACAAACTTCAGTTACATTTACAAATGAGATCATTGTAAAGCACTCAGCACCCATAAAATGCCTACAGAAATTGAACTGCCGCCACAGAAGAGGCAGATGTAAATAGAATTATAATACATATACAGATATAAATGTAGCTACTATATCTTTACCGGCACACCTTTTTGAAGTCAAATGTCACAATATCAGGAGTAGCCAAAATGGTGCCCTCCACATATTGCTGAACTAGAACGGCTATCGTTCTTGACTACAGGCAATGCTGGCTGGGGCTGATGGGGGTTTGAGTCAAACAACATCTGGAGGGGAGCACATTGGGCACGACACTGTATGCCAAACTATAACTTAGCAGGACCAGGTGAACATCTTGACTCAGCAATGAGCTAAGCCAAGGTTTCGCTAAGTGTTTTATCTAAAACAGGGCTGCAGCTCATGGCTAGTGTGATGAGAGCTTAACCACACATCCTGGTTTGTATGACACACAAACCTTGACTTAGCTCAGCGCTGTGCAACTGAATAAAAAGCAGAGGAGCAAATAATCATTTAGTTTACTGTGTCATACGACCCAAGGCTACCCCGGTCTATATTCTACACACACAATTTTAATACAGAGGCAGTATTATGAGCATCTGTTGAATGAATGAGGGCACCTATTCCCTTGGGAATGGAGACAGTATTATTATTGGAAAGGCTTGAAAGGGCCTCTCTGGCAAAGAGGTCCAGAGGTTACTTTTATCATGGAGAATGGCATACTCATGACAATTTCTCATTTACCAAAGCCCTCTTTGGGGGCTTAGTCTTCTTGAATTCAAACAATAATTGAGGAGAAGCAGTTATGTGCTACAAGTACCGTCCTCTCTGGTGCATAACGTTTATCCAAGTTTAGAGCCATCCATAAGTTTAAGGTCAGTAGTATCGCATGAAGAGCCTCTTCTACTTGTGGAGGGTCCTTGCAGGGTTTACAACCCTGAATGACTTACATAAAACTATTTCATATTTGCTCCAGTATGGTTAAGCACATTTATGTAAGACTGAAACTCCAGTTTTTCTTGAAGAATATAATCTTCCTTTAACGGGGAGTAAACCATGAACCCAGTGAGGACTACATAAACAGAATTGCACTCCAAAAGGTTCCAAGCAGATTTACTTACCATATGAGGTCAGTGAATCCTTTATGATGGTGCATATTAGGAGAGGAACTATTCAGCATTGAGAGAATGCATTCCAGGAAGAGAAGTTGCAACTGCTGATTCTCACTGACAAATGGAAGCAAAGTGTCTTACAGTTTATTGTTCTTTTCAACCAGATGCAATAATACAAATAAAAAAGCAAATAGTTTTTCTCCCTATTTCATGGAAAAATACAAAAGGAAAATTCTCTGCGAAGAAAACGGACATGAAAGCAGCTGAATGCAATTATCCAGAATCAATTTCCCCTAAGTAGAAATCTCAATTTCTCATGAAAATGTTCAGGGCTGTTGAAAACATTAAATGTATATATCACTTCCCACTTCAGAAAATGATCAAGCAGAATTCTAAAAAATAATAATCACATGAGCATGGTAAAAAATACTGAAGCAATAAATTAAAATATTTTAGTAAAAACTCCAAAACATATTTAATGTAGAAGGGTTCACTGATCAGTATAATAACGGGCACTTCGCAAGTATAATAAGAATATATAACACATACTGCTGTTCAGTATTAACAACTACTTCACTGACAGGATTGTTGCAGTAATTAAGAATGTGTGCCATTAGCACAAAATGCAATAGAGATAAATAAAGCTACTGCTAATAAACTGCTTGCAATTACAAAGTAGACAGATCCTACATGCAAATAATTACAGTTATTTGGATGTACGAGTAATTACTTAAACTTAATATAGGACACATTAGTACTGATAATTACTGGGAAATGGGAAATGCCTACTTTTGCAGTGTAGATCAGAGTTACTCTATTGTTACCCAATTCACTTCACAAATAATTTTTCCATGATTCTGTTCATATATCGCAGCCTAGCACATCAAGGACTAATTAACTTAAATGTGTGCAAATTACACGCTGGCATGCAATACTCAAGGTGGATTACCATTGTCTTATCACAAAATGAAAAGATTAAGTTGCTGTTAACTGCTTAATGGAACAATTATTTTTTTTGAAAGATAGCTAATTGTTGTTCCCTACTGTCTTTGAAGTCAATCATCAGGTGGACACAAGTAGACAACAGACAAAAAATAAAACTCCATAATGGAGTAATAAATCCAAAACTAATAACAGCAAGTCTAGAAAGGTGTGTCACTAATCCCTACTAATGGCCTTATTCATAGGTCTGAAGCTACTGAGTTTCTGCAACAGAAAAATTGCATTAAAAATTTTCCATTTTCCATTTTTGTATTGCTGATGGAAACAGCAGAGCACTACATGGGATTAAGTAGCCCAGTGAGGGAGTGGAGGAATGGGAAAAATGCATTTTTCTGTGACATTATCTCTATATATATTTTTTAGCTGTTCTGTACGTGCAGAACATAATTTTTCTTTAAAAAGGCAAGAAGTACCAGAAGTCTGAAATAGATGCTTCATGGTTCGGGTTGATTCTATACCATAGAGTGATTCTACCTAAACACTTAGTTTAAATTCAGAAACTATTACTCACCTGATAACTGCCTGAAGTTTTTCACAGAGAACCGTGAAGACAGAGACAACATCGTCACAAAGGGACTCTGTGGTAGAATCTCCAAAAGGGGCAAAGGACAGATATTAGCAGCAGTCATGTGTACACCTAACTACACCAAAGTTTGACACCTGCAGAAACAGCTCCAACTTCAGTGACTTCAAACTTTGCACAGAACATGATGAGGAAGACATGGGATATGGCGTTGAAAGAGAAGCTTTATCTGGGCATATGTGGATAGGACTCTCCTCTGCCCCTAATTCAATGCTCTGGCACAAAATATGGAATGAAACATCTACTGAGGAAAACGATTCGACCAACTGTCGGGGGAAGGGAATGCTGGAAATGGAAGGGGAGGAGCTGTTTCTTGCAAGTGTTGCTGGGAAGGAGGAAATGAGCAGAACTCCATGCATGGCTTGAAGGACAACTGCATGAAAGACAGAGAGACACAGGGATGGTGCTTAGGATGCCTCTGGATCCAATGCAGCGCTGCTGGAAGGACAAGCTGCTCTTGAGGTGTACATGCTATGAACTCTCTCTCCATAATACTCAGATGTAAATATGCATGAATAAACCACATTTCTTAGAGACACTGCCACCTCTGTCGTGTCTCATTCCAAAGGAACACAAACTCTGGTTAAGGGCCAAGACCCCTGGAACCTTGCTACCGCTTGGCAGAGACTGGGGTGGCTTGTAACAAAATTCACAATAATTTTGCATAGGCATGATGTGGGGGGGGGGGGAGAAAGTTGAAGGGGAGAAATAAACCAGTTTCTGAGTAGTTATGAACTCATACCTGGGCTCTTGCACCCCTGAAGGACTCCTTGGCTTTCAGCTATCTATTCAGGAAAGGAATATATTGTCATTAGCACAGGTATGGGAAAGTGTTGAATGGTCTCTTTAAATATGAAGGTTCATTATTGTTCCACAAGATGTGTATTTCTTTGAGGGCCAGAGCAAATAATGTGACCTAGTTTTACAGTTGTGAAGCAGTATAGCAGGTGCTGTTAAGTTATGTTAATTAAGCTGTTGGGTATTGTATATAAAGAGCAGCACCTAGCTCTCTCAGTACCCTGGTGGATGGGTCATGCTTATTGATATATTGTAAAAGGAGTTTTTGTTTTCGTTATTAAAACCTAGCAAAAGTTATTTCTGTGATCCTTCTAATGTGTGGTCTCCACAGCACACTTTTTGCAGCGCAACTAATCTGCAAATAGCCAACAGTTTACTGAAGAACAACTTTTCACTTTTCTATTTCTAGACATATGAGCAATCAAAGAAACCACTTCTGAGACAAGACTCTTAACCTGATCCAGAGGAGAATTAAGGAGTTTATGTATTGTGGTATGGAACTGTGGCTTATTTATTTAGTTAGTGCCGTATCAAGATAAATTTTAAATGGCAGGAAATAACTATATGCTGGAATATTGCCCTGAATTTCATCACATAAAATTGCAACATAAAACTCCTGTGATTTTCCAGGCTAATGGGGTTGCAAACAGTTTGTTTCTGGCTGCTGACATGGAACCAATTTCCATAACATGGAAAGGAGCGCTAAATTTTTGCTGGATGCTAGTTTTCCAGAAGTGGCTTTTACATTGTATGAAAGATAATATAAAACATGGAAATTATCAGGTAAGAAAACATCGGGAAAAGGGAATAAAGTGCTGTCTGAATGAAGCCATAAGTAGCATTGCGAGGAAATCACAACCCATTGTTGTTGCTATTGAACTCACTGGATTCTCTTGTTTTTGCCGTAACTGTAAAGTCAAATCACTCAACATCTGGCTGAGAGTTGCCCGCACAGCTGTATTAATACTCCGCTGATGGTAACTGGAGACATAGGTTTCAATGCACACCTGGTTGGGAAGGGAGAAAGGAACAGCAGAAGCAATGTAATTATAGATGTAATAAAATAAGACCACCAACATAATTATAATTGGTAGAAGTAGGAGGGCGGTTATTGGTTTGTTTTGTTTTCATTTTCATTTTATTATGTATTTCATATTTTTTGTCTTTTTGTTTTATGTTGTGAACCATCCTGTGATCTTCAGATGAAGGGTGGTATACAAATTTAATAAATAAAAATGAAAGTTAAATTATATAGAACTATTTCTGACGACAGTCTAAATTCTGAATCAGCCAAGTCTAAATAGTATCATTTATACCACAATATTTCCCCAAGTAAAACTACTAGGGCTCTAATCTGAATGGTTACCTGATGGTTTTAATATAGCTTCTCATATTTTGATGGAAGAGGCTTACTTGTTTCATTCATATATACACCTCTATTTGGAGTGTACTATTTCAGACTCCAGGTAACAGGTCACATGAGTCAGTGTTCTTCCATACAAAAACCAAAACCAAAACGGCTGTACACAAAATGCTAGATATCAGGAACATCATGAGAGCTAGCATAGCCTTATTCATTCTGCATAAGCGCCCTACATTTAAAGCCCATCTCGCCCCCCCCAAGAATCTTGGGAATTGTAGTTTATTAGGGGAATTGCACCCGGGGGGGGGGGGGACAACTGTTGGCAAGATTCTTGGGGGTGGGGGACAGGAAATATGCTTTAATTGTATTATATATAGAGGTGTATTCCACCATGCAGTCAGAAATAGTAGAACCCTAACACAGACTTAACACTTTCATAGGAACTAGCCCCTAGTTTAATAGCAGCTTAAAAAATTACCCACCAATCCTCTTTTATTATTTGGTCTTACGAATTGGAATCATGCCATCTTTACATATTTGAATCTGAACTGAAAAAGCATTGGGGAAAAAATCATAGAATGTGTAAATTCAATCGATAGTTAGGATCAATTCATGCACAAGTCCAAATTAAGTTGGTCCTCTTGTCATTTGAGTAATTTATCTCTAACCCAGCTGCTAAAGGCACCTTCTAGTGGCAGACTGCTAGGTTATTTTATTAACATAGTCCAAGTTTGGCTTCCAGTGAAGAAGGAGCACTCACCTCAGCAATCTTAAGTACTGAACTCCCATTCAGCTCAAATGTTGGAGTGTATGTTATACAGAGCAGGACCTGCAATCAAAGGAACAACAGAGGGCAAGAGCTTTAGTAGGAAGGTGCCCTGAAACCCTGATCAAGGCTACAGTGGCGTAGTGTGGGTTGTCAGCACCCGGGGCAAGGCAAGTAATTTGCGCCCCCTAACCCGTGGATTTGCGCCCCCTAACCTGTGGATTTGCGCCCCCTAACCCGTGGATTTGCCCTAACCCCAGATGTTGCGCCCGGTGCGGCCGGCCCCCCCTGCACCCCCACGCTACGCCACTGCAAGGCTATGAAGTTCACCAAGAAGCAAGTCCACCAGATGTCCTACCTTTGCTAATCACAGAATCACAAGGCAGAAACAGACCAGAGGGGCAAATCAAACCTCTCCTCAAGGCAGGATCCCACAGATTAATTCATGTAGCCCAGAAGAGAGTATAGGAATAAAGAAGGAGTGCCCTCTGGGGGTCACTACTCAGTCTGACCTGGTAGAAAAATCATGTCCAGCTCTTTATATTCTGAAGGATATCCACCCATCATCACATGTAGTGACTTGGGTTCCATTCATTCATGAGTAATAAGAAAGACAAGTTCAATGTCACATGAAACTATCTATTTTGGTATCAAACCCAATGACCCCAAAATCTGAAAATGGGGCATCTACCCTCTGTCAAAACTCATCGTGGATTTTAATTACAGCCAGAGTGCTTTCTGTCTTGAAAAAACTACTGCTTTGCTCCTTGGTTGCCCGACCACACAACTGATAATATGCTGATGAGATTTTTCAGATCAATAAGAAAAAGAAACAATGGATTATGCCATCTTTATCAGAATGAAAACCACTTCCCCTAGAACTGGGTTGGGCAACCTTTTAAAGTTAAAAAAAGGTAAAAGGTAAAGGATCCTTGGATGGTTAAATCCAGTCAAAGGCGACTATGGGGTGCAGCGCTCATATTGCCTTTCAGGCCAAGGGAGCTGGCATTTGTCCACAGACAGCTTTCTGGGTCATGTGGCCAGCATGACTAAACCGCTTCTGGTGCACGGAGGACTGTGACAAGTGCCAGAGCGCATGGAAATGCCGTTTACCTGCCCACCGCAGTGGTACCTATTTATCTACTTGCACTGGTGTGCTTTTGAACTGCTAGGTTGGCAGGAGCTGGGACAAATCAACAGGAGCTCACCCCATCGTGTGAATTCGAACTGCCAACCTTCCAATCGGCAAGCCCAAGAGGCTCAGTGGTTTAGACCACAGTGCCACCTGCGTCCCTTTTAAAGTACTTCTGTATGGTTTATAGACTCCACTGTGCTTTTTTTGTTTATAGCCTGCAAGATTGCACAAAAACAGCTTTATAAAATGAATGCAACCCGCCCCCAATTCCTGGTTGTAACAAAAAGGAAGTAACATGAAGCCCAATTAAATTCTTTCTTCTTCTTCTCAAGTATCACAAATTTTAAGCCCACAAATCTTAAAGGCTCATGGCTGTTGTCTGAGAAACATTTTTACAGAGTATTTTGTATACCTATAAATTTGTCTGTCCTTCACTACACTGGAAAGAAGAGATATTATTCAGAAAGGGCAAGGGAGACTAACAGTCTATTATATATTATTGTGAAACATGCCACACACACACACACACACACACACACACACACACACAAAAGTATCTCACAGAAGAAATAACTGCTTGAAAATCTACAAGTGTATTGCTATTTTGCAGCTTTCACAGCTATAAAGACTCTCCTTCTGCAAAGAGGGGAGGGGTTGTGGGCGGGATCCGATCTCCGCCTCAAGCAGGGGGCGTTAGCCCCCTGCCAACCACTCACCTGGCTGGTGCATCACGCCCACGGGCAAGCGCCCAACCAGGCGGCTTGAAGGGGGTGTGGACAGCAGCTTAACTTGTTGCTGCGCCAGCCACGCAGTCTCACTTTTCGCCTTCCCGTCGCGAGTCACCCACCCTCCACTCCCTCAGAGCTCAGGGTTTCAATTTCTCTTTTGGCCTTGCTATGGACCTTAGGTTGGTCGCCCAGGTTGTCCAGGGGGCCTGGTAGGAATTTTTCCATTTGGCATTAGGCTTTGTGGTTTTTTCGCCTACCTCGTAGCAACCGTCACAACTTTCGTGGTATTGGTGGGTAGGTTAGGCATTTGAATAATGTGTTTGTGGTGTGTGGAAGGGCTAGGTGTGGCCATCGCCTACGCCTTCAATTTTTGGGTATTCCGTTAAAGGAATCCGGCGGTCGTGTATTCTGTCCGATGCCTGTGTGGCGGGGGGCCATGGCACGACCCTCGGTGACATCAGGGGAGAGCCTATAGTTGGATTAGCATCAACGGGCTCCACCTACTGGTGAATAAACCCCCCTTTTTAGACTCACCCCTCTCCGAGTGGGTGGAGTCAAGTCACGTGATCCAATGCCTAAGCCAATACCTTTTCACTTGCTGTAATCAATAAAGTTGTGGCCTTTTCTTGCCCCATTAACCTTATATTGCGTGTACTTGTGTCTTCATTTCACTAAGCGGGGATCGGGTCCTCGAACCACAACACCAATTCCCCAATCATCTTTTCTCCACATCTATTTGCATGATTACCCCCTCACACACTAATTGACAAGCATTCCATGTTGCTAAATTAAACAGTCAGCTAGCAAGCAACAGACCCTCACATCAGATGCGCACATCTACGCAAGTGTACAGAGCTGCTTGGGCTTTTCTCCAATCATGTGCTCTAGACCACCCACATTCAAGAGGGAGGTGGGTATAATGGCAGCTTCATAAACCAAACATAATAACACTTCCAATCAAATATGCTGAGAATGAAGGGAGAGAAAACAAGGAAAAAAAATCCATGTCCAGTAGAGATGCAGGCAAGGGTCTGTGTATAACAAACATGAAACAATGGTGTGTTATTAATACAGGCATATACAGTGGTACCTCGGGTTACAGGCACTTCAGGTTACAGACTCCGCTAACCCAGAAATAGTACCTCGGGTTAAGAACTTTGCTTCAGGATGAGAACAGAAATCGTGCGGCGGCAGTGGGAGGCCCCATTAGCTAAAGTGGTACCTCAGGTTAAGAACAGTTTCAGGGTAAGAACGGACCTCTGGAACAAATTAAGTGCTTAACCCGAGGTACCACTGTAGAAGCAAGGAATAATCAGCATATCTACAACACAGTCATACAACTAGGTAAGAATTAAGGCTATGAAGAATGTGAGATACATTCCTTGGTGTTTTAGCCAGCTCTAGAATTCTGTTGTGAAATTTGCCTATTATACAAGGACTTGCCTGTCCGTAGGTCCTGTTTCTCTCTCTCTCTCTCCCTCCCTCTCTCTCTCTCTCTATATATATATATATTCCCACAGTTTGCTGGGCATTTCAGGTGCTCTTTAAAATATTCTCTCAGTCATGGGTGGGGAAACACTTATGTATTAACAGAGTCCCCCATACCTTGCAGAATGTCTAAATGACCCAACCACATGGGCAGAGCTTTGTATCACTCCATGTGGTTGGATCAATTAAATACAACCCCAACTGCATAGGTTCTGCTCGTAGATACCTCAACTGCTCACATAAAGGTAAAGGGTAAAGGTAACCCTGCCCGTACGGGCCAGTCGTGTCCGACTCTAGGGTTGCGTGCTCATCTCGCTCTAGAGGCCGTGAGCTGGCGCCGTCCGAAGACACTTCCAGGTCACGTGGCCAGCGTGACGAAGCTGCAGCTGGCGAGCCAGCACCAGTGCAGCACATGGAAACGCCGTTTACCTTCCCGCTATAAAGCGGTACCTATTTATCTACTTACACTTGGGGGTGCTTTCGAACTGCTAGGTGGGCAGGAGCTGGGACCGAACGACGGGAGCTCACCCCGCTGCGGGGATTCGAACCGCTGACCATACGATCGGCAAGTCCTAGGCACTGAGGTTTTACCCACAGCGCCACCTGCATCCCTGCTCACATATGGCTTCATTAATCTCAGATTTATTTGTTTGTTTTTAAGCAATGAAGACTTCATATGGCATTCACAAATTAAAAATCACATCCTGGGTATGTCATGTACATTTGCTTTAAATAAAAATTAGCTGCAGCTTTCTGGCTCATGATCAATACAGTGGCTCAGGAAACACAGTAGCTTCCCCCTCTGATAGGAGCTTCAAGGCAGCTATGAATAAGATAAGATGACCAATGCAAATCAAAGTTATTAATAGGTAGGCTCTGAAGAGGTCCTAAACTGTAAAGAGCTAAGGGACAGGGAGACCAAAAGCAAGTACGGTAGTGGGAAGAAACCTGAGGGACAGGTTGACACAAATATTGACTGAAGAAAAGGTGCAATAGACAAGAGACAAGTAACTGAGGCATGAATGAGCAATCAAGGCAGGGCTCTGAAGATGAGCAGTGCTGAAAATCTATGGAACAAGAGAGAGAGAGAGAGAGAGAGAGAGGGGCAGGATTACCACAGTAATTGGGATAAAATAGATAATACCCTGAAAAGAAAGAACCTGAAGAAATAATGGATGGATGTAGACATGAAGCTGAAGAAAGTAACATATGCCTTTGGACAGCTGTGAGTCCAGAATGACTCCTGGGCTGCACACCTGGTCTTTCAGGGGCACGGTTACCCTATTCAGGATCAGGGAGTCCCCCACACCTGCCCGCTCCCTATCCCCTAAGAACAGTACTTCTGTCTCATCAGGATTCAACCTCAATCTGTTAGCAACCATCCATCCACCCACCAACCAACCAACCAACCAACCAACCACCTCCAGACACTCACACAGGACCTTCATCACCCTCACTAGTTCTGATTTGAAGGAGAGGTGGAGCCAAGATATGTTCAGGGCCAATATATGCTTCTGTCTGCAACATGGAATACAGTGTTACCTCCGGTTACGAACGAGATCTGTTCAAGAGGCCCGGCCATATCCCGAAAACTTCGTAACTGGAGGTGCTCTTCGCTCTTCTGCGCACGTGTGCGAGGTGAAACCTGGAAGTATACACTTCCGGGTTTGCCGTGGCCGTAACCCGAAGATTCTGTAATCTGAAGGTTACGC